CAATATATAATTATATTGACATATATACCCCTCCACATGATTTAATAATGAATTAATATACACATGTAATTATATAGGTATCATTATGCAAAGATAATTATTAAATATCCTCACAACCACGGGCCTTTACCAATTAACCCAAAAAGGCTTCCTTCAAGCCCAATACCACATCCGTTGGTCCAACTTCCTTTAATCCCAATACAAATAACTTAAATACCTAAAATAATGAAATTAAATTTAATAGCTACCAATAATTAACAATAAAGGTACACCAACATAAAATCACGCAAATCAAATAAACACTTCACTAACTAGCATTCCACAAATCAAACACCGTATAAATTTAACAAATAAAATTACAAAATATATAATTTAATTAAAACAATACAATTTACCTACGCACTTAATTAAATAAAACAAATCACAACTATCAAGCACCTAATTAAATAAAACAAATCACTTAAAAATAAATATAATATAAATTAATTTAATTAAGAAATCCTTTTTACAATATCGGGGTATTACACTAACGCAACGGACCACTAAGCAACTCCTAGCCGTCCGGATTTTTGCAAATACTTTTCGAAAACTTTTTCCCCAAAACAATTTCTTTTGTTTTTCAAAAAACACTTTTCCCTTTTTCATTTCCCAATGGAATGCATGAATGTTCCATGCTACACAATTTTAAAATTAAGAATGAAGTCTCATGTAATTCAATAATTATTAACAACATGCACATACCTCATGCTTAAATAAACAAATTAAACATATTGAACAAATCAAGGCATAAATTGAATATATTTTCATCACGTCAACTCAAGAAATATATAATTGAACCAACTATTTACATAATTCACATTATCATATAAAACCTTAAACACCATAGGTCAAATAATCAAATTAAACATGCTTATAAGCAAATTTGAGGAGGAAAATTCACAAGGGTTAAAGAAATTGTGGGTTATAACACCCCAACCTCAATTAGAAAAAAAAGTCCCAAATTTCACCTAAATTCGAATTTCAGAAAATGCCCTAAATAGTGATTTGCTTATATCAAAACACAGGCCTCAACGCGTTGTTAACTATGCCTTGAGTGACAAAGTCTAATTCTAAGTGATGGAAGAGAGATCAAAGCTTGAATTGGATAGAAAAGGATAAAAAAAAAATTTTAAAAATTTAAAAAAAAATGAATTGATGCAGAGGGAGAGAGATAGAGAAAAATTACGCAGAGAGAGAGTGGTCATATGACCATTAGTCATTACAAATGACCAAATATACCAGTGGGTTCCATAGCTTATAATTTTCTTTTAGCATTATTACTTATATATATATATATATATATATATCTATTTATCCTATAAAAGTATGTTTTATTTTTAATTTTTATATACAATCTTTTTCAATATTTTATAAGTATCGTCTCGATTTTCACACTTTTTATTTTTTATTTTTAAAGTGTCATCTCGATTTTCACAGTCCTATAAAGTGTCGTTTCGAATATCTATTTTTAATTTTTATATGCACCTTTTCCAATATTTTATAAGCACCGTATACACAGTTTTCGGTTACACAATTTTTCTCATTACATACGTTTCTTAACACGCCATCAAGTTTATTTTAATAATTATTTAAAAACAAAAAAATGCGCTCCTCATTCCATCTTTGTCCATACTACAAGTAAAGTAGACTTTGAGTCAATCTCTATTTTCCAAGACTTCTTAATTAACCAAATTTATTCTTGAACTTGATTTTACATGAATAATGATATTTATTCTTATAACTCGTGTAAGATTTATTCAAAGAGTTAGACTCTTACTCAAAATACTCTTTAAATATTTAACTGACCTCTTATTTTCATAACATGTCTCTCCATTCCAGTTGTATTATCTGTTTCCTCTTTCCTTAGCTCTAAACTAATAAATCTTTAAAAGTTATCTTCTAATGGAAAATCGTCATTTTTTTTTTATTTTTTTGTAAAATACTTATCATTTACTAATTATTTAATTTTAAATTAAAAAAGAATGTTCCTAACTATTGCAACTTGTACCCAACAATGTGGCGTTTGGAAAGATGATGTACTCATTTGCTGGTTGCGAAGAAGTTTGTGTTCTTAAAAAAATTGTAAATGATAATACAATTATTTAGAAAAAATATATATTAAAGATAAATATATTTATTTTATACCATCAGTTTTAAATTTAGAATTTTAAAAAAATAAAATAGTTTTTCTTTACACTTTTTGGTAATAATAATAATGTATACTTGATTTCAATATTTTATAAGCGTTGTTTCCATTTTAAAAAACGTATATGCTGTTTTCGGTTTTCACAGCTTCCTTAGTGCATACATTGCTTAAGATGACGTCAGTTTTATTTTAAGAATTTTTTTAAAAAACAAAATAGTTTTCTTTATGTTCCCTTCTTCTTAAAAAAATAAAAAATAAATATTCATTTTTTTCAATTGTTCAAACCAACACATCTTTTTTTTTTTCATGTTTACTTGTTTTTTTTATCCCTTTCTTCTTTAAAAAAAAAAATAAAAAATATTCATTTTTTTGCATTGTTTCGAAACAATAGCAATCAGACCAACACGTCTTCTTCTTTCATGTCTACTCAGTTGTTGGTGTCTGAAGAACCTTATATATAATCGGCGGATTGGATCTTGCCTCTTTCATTCTACCTTTCTCGCTTCTTCTACCCTTCTTGCTTCTTCTACCCATCTCTTCTTTCAACATTTACTATCTAACTCTACTTCAAAAGTCAATATTTGGTTGAAACACACGACTCAATGCCTATTTTTGGCTTAAGGTATGTTTTACTATGTATTTTGTGTTATTTATATTTTTGTTTTTGAGAATACAATGTTTGATTTTTTTTTTTTCCCTATTATGTTTCTTAATTATGTGAATTTTGTTGACCATAATTTAGAATTATTCATAATGTTCTCATTCTTTAGTTGTGCTAATATGCCTCTGAATGTTCATTTGGGTATAACCCAAGTAAATGATTTGGGTATTTTGTGTTTATAACCTTACAACCTCAATAATTTCTTTTGCTTTTTCTTTCTCTTTCTCTCTCTCCTTCTTTTTGTTTGTGGGCTTGGAAATTTTATTCATTTTCCCCCCCAAAATTTGCATTTATACAACTTGGTTATTTTACTTTTTGTTTTACTGAATAAGTAAAGTCGTGCGCTTAAGACTTAGTAAATCTAATTTCAAATTAGATATAAAATATCAATTATTTATTCAATATAGATTTTTATTTACGTGCATTGCACGTGATCATTTTATAGTATATATATATATATATATATATATATATATATATGCAATAACCAATTCACCATTACATAAAATCATATAATCAAATAAATATGTACAATAAAACAATGCCTGAAATGTAATGAACCCATGACACAATTTCCGTGTACAACAACCCAGTAGAGGGTCCCACATGGGACCTTTTAGTCAAAAAATCAGAAAAATGCTGAAATGGCAACCGATGCATTTTCAAGAGTCGTGAACTAAAAGAAATGTCCCAATAAACATTCTGACACACCTGGCACACCTCACGATGTCTGACATGCAAAACGAGACAAGAGAAACAAACTCGAATAATAAAAATAAAAAATAAAAATAAATGAAAAATGATAAAAATGAGGATCATTACAGTCTTCAAAACCCAAAATGCCGCCAAAACTCTCTCCACTATCCTCCTCCCTCTACTAGACATCTCCCTCCCTCTACTAGACATCTCCCTGTATCTGTTGTAGGGTTTCCTCCCAAATAAGGGAAATAGAAAAAGGCTGACAAAAGAAATAAGCCAAAAAGTCTGTTAAATTTTCTTCAGTTTGTAACGCTGTTTTGACCTATTTGGACTCCACTATATCTATATCTATATCACCATTTGTCTTTAACATCAAAATATCAAAAACCAGACTCAAGCCTAGAACAACAAAAAGTAGGGTTTTCACTCACAATACCAATTGCAACTATCTCTTACCTATTTGTCCTCCAAATTGCGGAAACCCTTTAAGTCACTCTCTCCTTATCCCCAGACTTTTCTTCATCCCCACCACCGCATCTTCAGAAGCTTAGAGACACCTCATCTCAACCCCTTGGCCTTCTTGCAAACACAAGCTCTATTCGGTTCACAGACATTTCATTGACAAAACACTTTCAAATTCAACCAATTACCTCATGATTTGTGTTATTTGGGTGTTTCCACAAATACAAACATAACCGCTATCCGTTTCACCGTCATTGTCGACTTTTTTCATCGTCGGTGATGTACGGCCTGTTTATAAATGAAGATTGGAGAGTATGGTGCTTTTGGTGATCTAACGAAGAGGAAATACAAATCTGGCGAAGTTCGATTATTCACCCTAGATAATAAATCTGGTAAATCACAATTTCTCTTTCTCTCCATTTTTTTTTACTCTATTTGTTGCTTGAAAAGTTGCAAATCTTGTAAGGGTGCAATAGGCCTAAAGGTAAATTTACAATTTAAGATATTTTGAATAAAATATGCATTCAAATAACAAGGATAAAAGAGTAATTTCAAAATTTCAATCAAAGGGGTATGAATGTTGGCCACTCAGAGGGAAGGTAAATGAAATTATCCAAATTAGAAGGGATGCATGTGTAGTTTGGAACCCTTGTTTAAATGAGTGTTCCATGCAGGGAGATGGATTACATCCTTGGGTGAATTAATTTTCAAGCACTCCAAGTGGAGCATGAGTAGACTACGGCTAGAAGTTCAAAGCAAAGCTTCCCGATCAAGCTCATCCACATTAAATGGACATATAATTAAAGGGTATAAATGTACTTTCAAAAGTAGAATTAATTTTCACTGCTCATACCCAAAGACTGCACTCTGAACTATGTAGCTTCCGGAATAAGCTTGTAATACACAGACACCGAATCAAAGGACAAAGGGCATAACCGTACTTCTAACAGCTGGACTTGTTTTTACTGCTTATACACCCCCGAACCGCCCGGCATTGCTCTTACGGAAAATATCCCAAAATTTTCTACACACGCTTTCCCCGCCATATGCTTCTCTGTCTAGGGCTTCCTCATCTGTTCAACGCTCAAACCACTCTCTCACTCGAAACCCTAATTTACTCCACAATAACCCAAGATTTCTGCGTTTGAAGTCAAAATGATTGTTCATACATGTGTGTGTTCTGTATATCGTTGTATCGCCGATTGATCGATGTCGAATTCCGGCGGTGGAGTCCCCCGAGGCATCAGCCTCTCGAACACAATCCATTCGGAGGTAGCGCCGTGCTTGCCTCTGCCGTCTCTGCCGGTGTTCTGCGGCGCGGTCGATCAGGAGCTCCGGTTGTTTGATGAGCCAAGTGGTTCGAGATCCTTGAATCGAAATGATGTTCTTCGTCAGGCTAGCAAGATTGCTGATCTTCTTCAGGACACTGATGTCTCTTACTTGTAAGTGTTTGCTAGCAATCTTGTACTCATTTCTTGCTATTGAGCTTCAATTTTATCTAATCTTTTTTTCTTTGAAAAGAACTTAATTTATTTGGAAGCATTTAAGTATTCGCCAAAATCATGCTTGAATTGCAGTATTTACAATATTGCAGTGTCTAGTACTTTGTACTGTATGTGTATGTGTGTGTGTATATATATACAATTGAAATGTTAGGCTGTATTGGTTGTAGTAGTTGCCTTTTTGGTGGTTCTTTTGATGAAAATATATAGGAACGACTGAATGCATGTTTTATGAACAATTCTGTACGTTCTGAAAGTTTAATGGGAGTCTAAACACAGGTGGCACTGCACCTGTTCCCTTGTGCTGATTTACAATGTCCGTTATGTCTCAAAGGTATAGAAAATGCCTTGTTTTCACCATCATATTTTTGCTGGTTGTGGTTTGGGAGAAGATTGTGGAATTTGAAATTATCTCATCTAATGAGCTCAATAGATTTGAACTATATGCATCACAGTTAAACAGCTAGTCAAATCTTTCAATGTAGACTAGAAGTGAGAATACTTTTCTGTCACTAGGCAAAGTTTTAACATTAAAGAAATGTGCTTTAATGGATGTCATTTAGCATTCAAATTATAAACCCTGTGACGAAATCTCTACAAGTGACCAGAATAATTTATTAGGCTAAGTCTCAGCAAGTGGTCTAAGCAATAAGGTGCATCAAATGGTTGACTTGGACTTGAGGGATTTTGACTCTATTAAAATATTATTCAAAGTTTAGTAGCTTCTCATTTAAACTTTTCCTCGAGCCATGTCACTGAAGCTTCTTTCTTGTTGGGCCTTGATTAAGTTATCACTGGAAGACCAGTAAGTCGCGATGCGATGTGTTTCTGGACATTTATTAAATAGGAGAACAAATTAAAAACAATCAGTTATTTGCAGAAGTGGACTTTTTGTTCGTCCATAACATAATAAACTACGAAAGATAATACCAAGGCCCAACACAATACTCATGATCTCCAAGTAAAGGGGGCTATTGACGAGTCACATGCTCAAGGGATCTAGCTCCGTATCAGGCAAGAAGTTCATCTCATTCTCCCAATTTTTGGATCTAAGAAGGCACTATTTACTGTGGCCGAGATATCTTAACTTAGACTAATGAATGTTTAGAAGTCCAATAATCAATTTCTACCGCTTGGCTCAACCCCATGATAACCAATGAAATATACCTCATTTCCATAGTTCCATTGAGATCACTTCCTTAAAATATTCAAAAACTTGATAGGTATATGCTTTTACTAATGTTTCTTGAATAGTCGATTCTGAATAACCTTTGTGCAGGCCCCTAAAGGTGATTCTTTTTTTTTTTTTTTTTTTTTTACTTCTTTTTTTGGCTCACTAGAGAGGTGTCCACGTCATTTTTGAGACTATTCCCCTCCGGCATGTGGCAAGCCCAATGCCACGTGCCAAGTTAAGCCTAAGCCTTGGAAAAACTCTGTGAGGCTGGCCTCAAGGGGAGAGAATTGCGTATAGACCCCCAAAAATGTTGTCCCCTACAGGTTTTTTGAAAATCTACATACAATTAAAACATATTTTTACCACCCCTAAAGAAGGAGACTACATAAGAGTAAGGCGTTAGCCTTTTGGTAAATAAATGAAGCTATATCCCACTCTTTGAATCAAGGTTAGATGGAGACTTTGAAGTTCGAACTCTTTGAAACCCATAAAGCAGCAAAAAGAGTTGCTCCGCAACACGATTCAATCTGTCCACGCTGAAGATACATGCATTTATCTCTATTTAAGGTTGCCTCCTCACGTATAAAGTGCACATTCTTAGAGGCTTTTGTCTCTGTTTCTTTTATCCATCCCCAAAAGCATTCCATCATTATGCTACCTAACTTTACATAGAAGCCTTGCCGTGGAAATCAATAGTGGAGCAATGCATACCAAAAAAAGAAAAAGAAAAGAAAAGAAAAGAAGATGATTCATCGCTGTCTTCTTAGTTTATGAAGAAAGTAACATTTGTGAAAGACATTTTTTAGTATCTTTGTTTCGGAGCGCCCCATATGGGGAGCCTTTGCATGAGCTATTGTGCTGCCAAAGCCTTAATTTTTTGGGCAGGTTTTGCTTTGCAAATCAACATAGAGTGGAAAAATTAGTTGTAGAAACTTAATTGATTATTAAGCGAAAGAAAAAAATTGCAGGATAAAGCGCCTTGCAAATTTCATGCCTGTAAATAACTATATTTATATTGAGTCTGACTAAGAAACATAAAAGAAGAAGGATGGTAAATATATTATTGGACAATTGCAAGAAGCAAAATATAGAGTGCAAATACCGTCATACTGTTCCCTACAAGACATATTCTTTCTTATTCCCTTTTCATGAATAAAGTTGTAATTGTCATTGCCATGTTTGTGGAAATATAAATAATTTATAAACAACAAGAGATCGATGCATTCATTTCAGTTTATCACTTTAATATATGTTCATATGTGATAGGGCTTGTTATTACATCAGTTTGCATTGATTCGTACCCCCGTTCAGACATCGTGTGAAGTGTCTATTCCACTTTGTATAGGTTTCTTGTAAATTTTACAAAAAAGCAGCATTTTTAAAATAATGTTTGATTTGGGTGCTGAGACATTGGTCTTATATGGTGTCTTCTGCAGGAGTCTGAGAGCTGAGGCAAATTCTATTTCTTATGGCTTCGTGGAGCCCATGAATCTTTATAGTGAAGTCCTTAGATGCGATTCCAAGGCATTTGAGTTCTCTGTTCCAGGTAAACAAAGTATTTCAGCTATAAATTTACCTTTTTATAATTTTTTTTTTTTGAAGCAAATACAATTGTCACTTTCTAATTCATATTGGTTTATATTATTGGAAAGTTTTATTGGGTTAAAAATCCAAAATTTGGCCAACATGCCATTCATTTGCTATGTTGAGTGAGAAAGGGCGCTCTAGTTTTTGACTTCCACTTCTTCATAGGATAAGAAGTGGCTGTGGACCGTTTCTTCAATAAAAATTCCGTCTTGAACATTAATTTTTTAATAAACAAAATGCAGTTGGAAATGCATTAGAATGATTTGATTGTGACAGTGTTCTCCGGTAGGAAAAAAATTGGGCTACCTAGAAACCTTCTTGGTATGTTTTTTCTTCTTCTATACTAAGTTAGTCACATGTGTGTTTTGACTTCCATTGGTCCACCCTTGTGTTTTCTAGTTAGTTTCACAGGTTACTATGAGTTGTTTCATTGGTAATTGCCTTGGTGATTTTGTGACATTCGGTAGGATGGGCGGTGTCTAGATGACAATCTTCTTAGTAAGCCTCACCTTAGTCCAACAGGGTGCCTCTGCACGTTGATCAAACAATTTTGTTGACATTAGCAGTATAGCATTTTGGTAGTCATTAAGGTGTTGTCACGATGTAAGAAATATGTTGTCAGGCAGTTATGTAATGTCAGGCAAGAAATCTCTCTCTCTCTCCCCCTTCCCCTCCTAAGTCAGGCAGAGGTGTGTCCACTTCAGACCTTAAAGAAGAGGTTGCATTGCAAATCTTAGCTTAGGTTTTCCGTTCTCAGAGGATTATGGTATGTTTGGGTAGCCTGAGGTTGGCTACAAAGATAATCGCACAATGGGTTACTTCCTTTGTCCCAAAATAACTGTCCCTTTTAGGGATTCTAACTTTTTAAAGGGACATGCATTTAATGCATGTCCTCCAACTAAATTTCCTGAACTAGCAATCCTTTAAATTTAAAGATGTGCGTTGTTATTAAAAAAAACTTTTTAGAACTTGAGGATATTTAAGGGAAGTTTCAAACTCTAGAGGCACTTATTTTGGTATGTCTCAGATTGGAAAGAGGAAACTTATTCCTGGACACAGGGAGCAGTATCATATCCACATATATTCGAAGTGGGTGGCTATATTGACAATCTTTCATTAAGCTGTAGATGGGCTATATTGATAACCTTGCATTAAGTTGTGGAATATATCATTTTGACTCTTCAAAGATGCATGTTATACTTGCGTCAAACACACATCATCTGGATAGTATGGAATGTGTGTAACACATATGGTTTGGACACACATCTACAATACTATTTAGCGGTGTCTCAATGTACTTGAGTTTGGAGATTTAGTAAATCTAATGCTTAGACACATACCCCCACCTATTTCACATGACGGAGCAAGGTTATTAAAATCGGGATTCCTTGTTGGATCGATTTGGGGTCCCTAGGTTGGATTTTAGGATGGGGTTGAGAGTTAATAATATTCTACAAAATAAAAAAATACTACTTAATAATATTTGTGTAAGAAAAAACCTAAAACTCATAAAAAATTATAGAATAATTAAGACAAGTATCTGGAACACATGAAACTCCAAAAACTCCACCTAACAATTTTTTAGCACATTATATCCCAAAAGTAAATGTATATATTTTTTAATATAAAAAAGGTTTGATTTATAAGAACTGTCTATGATAGAACACTATAATATTAGATTTAACCTATTAATCATGTATATATATTTTTTATGAACTATCATTTTATGATGATACATGATATAAAAATCTTTAACTTGCATATGGGGAAAAGATTGTATGTCAATATATGATGCAAATCATTAATGGTGCTTTAGTCAGGATTGAGGCAGTCAATGGTGCCTTGAAAAGTGTTTAGTCAAAGTCTATTTAGTAGTAATTATGGTATGGGAAATCTGAACTGTCATGGGAATAGTACTTGTCTTTAATGCTTATAAAAAAAAAGTAATTGTCTTTAATGCTTATTATTATTATTATTTTTTGATAAGTAATTGTCTTTAATGCTTATAAAAAAAAAGTAATTGTCTTTAATGCTCATTGGGTAGTCTAAAAGCCAGTCTAGGAAAAGTGGTGTCATTAATAGCTGTCTTATAAAAGGGACTGCCTCTTTATCAGTTTGTATTAAAGTCATATCAATATAATTTTGAGATATTTTCAGAGTATAAACTTCTCTCAAGGCTTTTCCTAGATTTCTGGCTTCGACGGTGATTGGAGTAACCCTAGTCTTTCTTACTTTTGTAAGAAGACTTCTTTATTTTCTGTTTGCTTCAATATAGCAGGTTTGGTAGAACCAAAATTCAAATCGGGATCCCACGATTTTGGCAATTCTATAGAGATCCAATAAGGATCCTACGATTCTAGGATTGTTTGTTGGACTGGGTTCGATTTAGTACTTTTGGATCGTAAAATTGTTTGATCATAATATTAGGGTCGGAATTTTAATAACGATGGAGTACATTATCACATGACTTATATTGTATTTAAATGTGTAGGATGTGTCTGATTTTTGGACTCTTATCCTAAAATTCGACACTTGGGGAAGTCTCACCCACCTTTGATATTTGCATTTTGTTCATGTAACATTCATTTTAGTTCGGTAGGAAAGAAAAAATTGGATGGAAGGGAGAGAAGAAGGGGTGGATAAGACATCCCTAGGGAAGAGATTGTGTATTTCCTTCTTTTTGTTTGGTTGGATAGAAGAGAATAGAATAAACTCATAATTTACTATGTTCGTTAAGAGAGACGGAAAGAGAAAAATTTATCTTTTTTTACCATTATATCCAATAATATTTATAATATTATAATTTATAGAGGGTGTTACTGCAATTTAAAACTTTTATAATTTAGGATAGTATTTAATTTAAAACTTCTATAATAGTCCACTTGTCTTCCTTCCTTTCTTCCGCCCATTTTTATGCGGATGAAAATTTGTAAAGGAGGAAGGATGGGTTATCCTTCCTATTCTCCTTTCTTTCCTTGTATCATCTCTACCGAACAAAGGAAGTTCATTCATTCCTTCCTTCCTATTTTCTTTCCACACCTCTTCTTTACTTCCAACCGAACACAACATAAATGAGGAAAAGATGGTCTTATTATGGTCTCCAAGGATGCCTCTACAAACTCCTCTTCTTAATTAAGCGTTGTTCGAGGACAAAAGGCATCTTGATGCACCTTGTGTATTGGCTGAGTTGGGAGCAAGACTCGGGGAGCTTTTACAACTCAATTTGCGGTTTTTGTCATGGTACACTTTAGCTATGCAAATATGTCTTAACCCCGCATGGATTATTGTAATAGCCTTCGTTTAGGTACGCAAATATGTGGGTACACACGTCAACTTAGCTTGAAGAGAGAGACACCAATTACTCCCAAATGATATATGTCTTTGTACAATTGCAACATCATAATGAATCACCTCCGCCTTGTGCAACTACGGTTATTTGGGGCTGCCTCACGAATACATGAGTGCTCCTTGTTGGACTGTGGTGGAGCTTATGTGGAAGATCACCTTGAAGTTATTATGGCGCAATCCGTAGAGGTGTGTATCATGACTTTTGTAAGACCACCATGTCAACATGGGTATTGCCTTAGTTCTAATTAATATTCACAAACCATGATTGTAGAAAGTTAAAACTGTTGCGTATTGCCTACAAAAAAACTATGGCGAATTGAAATCCTAGATCCTGAATTAGACTCCTTTTTAGACATTGAGCCTAAATTATATCAATGTCACCCATTTGAGGACTCTTGTGAGTTTTGCTCCATCTCTCTCTTTGCTAAATTGGCCTCCTTCTCTCTCTCATTTTCCTTTCATCTTGTCTCACTTCTCTACTATCCTCTTCATATTGGCATAATGATCGAAATTGGAAATAGGAGTGCTTTTCAACTGTGCAAAACTTTGGAGATCGACATGGAGGCCAAGATCAGTGCGTATATATATGCACATAGATTCATATATGCATTTTTTTTGGTTGCTTTTAGGCATAAATAAACAAGCAGCTGAGTTGAGCTCATGCTCATTTGAGCACTGCCGAGCCGAGCTCGATATTGTGTAGCCAAAGCTCGATCAAGCTCAAGCTGAGCTTGAGCATTCCGTTGGCTGTAACGAGCCGATCCTGAACACTTTGAAACTCGACTCGGCTCGATTGCAGTCCTACATGTCAGCACCTTTTGTAGAAATTATTTCAAGTGGAATAAAGGGTTATATATGCGTGTGTGTGTGTACTCTCGCTTCTAAAAGAAGTACAAGAATATGTAGAGTAGGGCTGCAAATGAGCTGACCCGACCCAAGCTTTAGGTTGCCCGGCCTCGGCTCGGGCGAGCCTGGCTAGGCCCAGCTTGGACTTGGCTCAGCTCAGTCTCGTGAGTGTGCGTGTGTGTGCGTGTGTGTATCAAATGAAGCATTTTCCATGCCCCCCTGAAGCAATAAGGGTAAGATATATATATATATATATATATATATATATATATATATATATATATATATATATATATATATATATATATAAGAAACAGTTTTCAGACACAAAGATTGCCACCATCTTTAACCATCAATCAATCAGATCTTAATCTTCTCCACCAATTTCTGGTTCCACCAACAGGGAATAGAGAGAGAGCAAAGTATCCTTGGTTACTGGGAGTTGAAGAAAGGCCAACCAGTGAGGGAATAGAGAGAGTGGAGTAATATTTGTATTTGGTCGTCGGTGGAGTCGGAAGGAGGCCAGAGCAATGGCCAGAGGAGTTACACGAGTTGCAGAGCTTGAGGAGCGTCTTGGTGTTGCGGCTATTTAGGGTTATTTGACCTTTTCACCTTTAACATGTATATAAAAGATCCAATGGCTTAGATGAAACCAGAACTTGGGCCATTGTATTGTTTAGTTGAATGGGATTTTAGGTGCAAGATGGGCTTCCAGTTGGGCCAATTCAAGATTTACATGTATCCAATTGGGCCAATTAAAGATTTACATGTATTTGGACTAAATTTATATGGATGGGCTATGTTTTTAAATATAAAAAATTAAATTTTATATATATTTATGTAAACGAGCTTGCTGACGAGCCGAGCTTAACATTGTTTAAGCTCGGCTCGTTTACTTAACGAACGAGCCTGAGTTGAGCTTTTAACGAGTTGAGCCCGATCCCGAGCTGTTCATGAACAGCACAGCTTGGTTCATTTGCAGCCCTAATGGAGATTGCAATATGCCAATAGATTCCATGATCTTTTCTTGAAATGTTACGAGAACAATGGAGAGAATGGACTTGCAGATATATGTGTTCAAGGCAAGGTCAGGGGGCTATCAAATTCACCCCATGCATTTGGTGTTTCTAAACTTCTGTTGATTTCATCTCTGTTTCCCTCAAGCTTCTTAAAGATGATCAACCACTGACTCGATCATGATAGTGGCAACCGAGATCAACGGTGGATTCATTTATTGCCTCTATTGAGAGTCTGAGTAAGAACCCACAAGAAGAAACACAAAGCAGAGAGTATTTTAAGTTGGATTTCAGTTCTCGGGTGTCAAGGGGAACCCACAAGGTCATTCATTTAGATACAATAATCTGTAGGCACCACTGGATTCTTAAGATCTAAAGGTATGTTTAACTTAATTATATAGTATTTGCAATTATATGTATATATATTAATTTGTAAATAGATCAGATTTTTACTTATTAAAAAAAAAAAAAAATAGATGAGATTTTTATTGGATCGGACCAAAGCTAATCCTTGTTTGGTCAGTAAATTCTCTGGTGTTGGGTTCCTGTTGTCATTGGGTAATTCTTCCAAACTCCTATTACCAGATCAAGACATCTGGATTCGATTCAGATTGCATGCCTAGTTTTTGTGGTCGACACTGTTAGCTTTCATTTTTTTGCAGTTCTTTTGGCACTCAAGATTTGTCAGTTCCTATCCTTGGTCTTCTTCTGCTTTTGAGTCAGTGTACAAGAAGTTGCAGGTGGACTTCCTAGATGGCAAAGTTTGACTTGTGACCCAATTACCCTGATTTAAATAGGTCTGGATTTGACTGATGTGGGTTACCCAACTTACCCTAGCCCAATCTCTTTTTGTTTTTACACAGCACTGATATACTATTTTCTTTGTTTCCAAATTCCATCCTTACATGGTGGTGGCGTCTCTCCTCGTTTTATTTACCTTTACAATTCTTTGTTTTATTTTACATTTGCTTCGAAATAGTGGTTGGTGCAATAGTGATTCGTAATGCATGTATGAGGTTTTATGTGGTCACGAATGCTATATTTGTGTTGTATTTTTGTTTGCTAGATGTGTAGTATCTATATACACTATACCCTAGTGGACTTCTGCTCTCTCTCTCTCTCTCTCTCTCTCTCTCTCTCTCTCTCTCTCCCACTTTCAGTGATGAAATGAACATGCTTACGTAGAAATTTGATGTTGCCATGCTTATTGTTCACTGTACTTTTCAAGTTTCTCAGGTCCTATCAAGGAGCAAATCGGTGGCAACACAGCATCTGAAAAGAAGCAGTTTGAGGACAGTATTCCTTCTACAAGTCAATTGCATAGAGACCATGGAGGAACTTATAATCATCAACCTGACTATGTTCTTGCCAATGTATGTCTATTTTGTTTAATCTGTTGATAATTGGGTTGTTTTATGTTCATTACCGACGTTTTTAAACTAAAACTGTAGGAAGCATTTACATCGTCTAGAAAGCCTAAAGTAAAGAAGAAAGAAAATGCTGACTTTCTAACAGTACCTGGTCCAGAACCCACCGAAGTTCAAGGTCAGCGTAGTTGTTTTTGTCCTTTTTATTATTATTATTATTATTTATTTATTTATTTCTTCAGTTCTTATCCTGACCTTTATATGTATTATTTGAGTAATTACGCTTTGGTGTCTCTTTGCTTAGATGCCATTATTGGAGGCTTTTGTGAGGTGTTGGAGGATTTCTGTGGCAGAGCTGAAATTCTGAGTGATGATCGGGATGAAGCAGAGTGGTTACCGATGTCTGGTGCTGATCTTAGAATGCTTGTGAATGAGATTATGTCTATCCGTGCAAAAAAAATCCTACATTTGGTTCGTGTAGATATTCTTGTGAGATTGCTTAGGGTTTTAGATCATCAGATTCATCGAGCAGAAGGTTTATCAGTTAATGAATGTGAACACGTAAGTTTCCAATCTTTGTATTCTGTCGTAGTTGTTGTAAATTTACAGTTTTTTTTCGCATCTCTGCTTCTCATTTTGTGTTGTAGAAATTTGGAAGAGCAGTGTTGTAGTCTTATTCTATTCTATCTGTTGGCTTAAAAGGATATAAAAGTTATGGAATTGCAATTGTAAGATGGTGACTATATGGGATATAATCCTTAGGATGAAGATCGTGGAATTTGTGCTTATTAATTGTTTGTTGTAGTAACGTTTCATGCCTTTTAGCTATAGGAAAAGAGCACCAATCAACCAATGGGCATTAGCCCAGATGGTATGATCTCTCCTTCCCAAAGGGGAGGTTGAGCGCTTGAGCCTTTACAGGCAATATTGTGGGTGCGTGTGCATTTACTTGTTTTTTTTGTTTTTTAATAAAAATAAAAAGCACCAATCATTATAAAACACATGGGAAACATGTGGGGCTTTTGAATGTATTTTCTTGTACTTCCTTGTGACTTGATTTTTACCTAAAAATAGATTATAGAAACATATTCATCTATAATAAATGATAAGAATAGAACTAGTAATCCTTCCCTTTCAAAATTCCATGCTGAAACTTAACCGTTGCACTAAAATGGCTTTGGCATATCGATGCACCCCCGTTAAAAAAAAATAAAAAGGTCGTACCCAGTGCACAAGGCTCTTGCATTAAGCAAGGTCTGGCATTTTATATTTCTAGGTGCAGCCTACTCCAACAGGTTGACTCCCCATCTCGTGCTTGCATTTCGTGTGGAAATTTTGTCCTCTTTTTGTCGTGTCTGGGTGTGAACTCTCCTAGGGAGATGCCCCAGCTAACATTGTCAATGTTGCACTGGCTAAGCTGTGTGTGGAATAGAACGAAGGGGGGGGGAGGGGGGGGGGGGGGGGGAGGGGAGGATTATCTTGGATTAACCCTGGGAGGGCATTATATTGGAGTCATTTTATGTATATTCACGGGCTGTATGTTGGCTGCTAACTGAAGCAAACTTCCTTCTGACTTTGGATTGATTATGTGGAGATATCAATCTCAGCACCATATTTCAGCAGTATTGTAATAATACAATCAGATACACCATAACGCTTTCTTCCCTTTCTTTTCTTCTCTTTTATTTTCTTTTTGTGTGCGTGTGTTTTCTTTCTTTCATTTAGTTGAGGGAGGAAGGGTGTTGTTGGTTCTCTATTGCTTTGGTTTTTCAATTTTATGGTTGTTATGTAGATTATTAATATTGTTATTTTATATTCCAGTCAGATACTGATGTAGTGTCCTCAGTTTGTGGTGCTCTGGAGTCCATTCATGCAGCTCTAGCAATAATGGCTAATAACGACATGCCAAAGCAGCTTTATAATGAAGAGGTACATACATCCCTTGACCCAGTTAATTGGTTAGACTTACCAGAGTTTTATATGCTATCTTCTGCTTATGTGCACTCCTCTTGATCCTTAAATTTTGTGTGTGTCTGATGTCCGTGCATGCTATGATTTGTAAAATTGTTAGCCTTTTTCAGTGATTATAGTTTATCCATATCAGATCATTGAAAGAATTTTGGAGTTCTCTAGGCGTCAAATCATGGACATTATGTGTGCTTGCGACCCAGTATATCGTGCTTTGCACAAACCAAGTGAAAATGGGTTTGTTGAAGGTAGGATATCCGTCTTGTTCTTGAAAGGCAGAAGGCTTCATTGAATTTGTTGCTTTGGTCAATGGTGGTCTCATTATCTTAATTTTTTTTCCCCACGTTGATTATCAGGTGAAGAAGATGACGAAGGTGATGCAGATTTTGGTTCTGCAAGCAAGAAAAGACGTACTTTTAGGAGTGGGAAAGTGAAAAAATCAGCAGTAAACAAGTGTGATTATTAATGACAGTTTTGTCTTTTTTCTTTTTTCCCCTTGTACTGCATGGCAAATTTTTGGCATTCAAAGTGAGGTTTTTTCTCTGTCTCCTTGTTTGGTCTTGTTAGGATTTCTGCTGCTGTGAATATTATACTTCAGAAACTGTGCACTATTCTTGGTTTTCTTAAGGAAGTGTTGTCAATTGAGCGTCTATCAGATAGTTGCATCCTGCAATTAGTGAAGACAAGCTTCGCGACATTGTTGGTGGATAATATCCAGCTCTTGCAACTAAAAGCAATAAGTTTGATTAGTGGGGTGGGTACTCTGTTTGGATTTTTGGCCTCTGATTTTAAAGGAATCTACAAGTGCTTTGGTCTCATTACTGTCATTTTAAACTGAGGTGCAGATTTTTTATACATACACACAGCATCGGACTTATGTGATGGATGAAGTTCTTCAGTTGCTTTTGAAGTTACCATTCTCAAAGCGAATACCAAGAACGTATCATCTACCTGATGAAGAACAGAGCCAGATTCAGATGTTCACTGCTTTGCTGATTCAGTTGGTTCACTGCAGTGCTAACCTTCCTGAGGCTTTAAGGAAAGCACCAAACAGTAATCCTATTTTAGAAGTCCCAACTGATGCCAATTACCCTGGCAAATGTCACGAGGCTGTCACAGAGACATGTTGCCTTTTCTGGAGTCGAGTTCTTCAGCGGTTTACTAGTACGAAGACACAGGATGTTTCTGAGTTGAAGACGATGGTAGAGAATCTTGTTACGGATTTGCTGACAACATTGAATTTACCTGAATATCCTGCTGCTGCTCCCATTCTGGAGGTGTGTACAATGTACATTTTTTGAATGCATTATATTGTTTTGATGTTAAAGGGCAGTCACTTGCAGGTGCTTTGTGTCTTACTACTCCAGAATGCTGGGTTGAAATCTAAAGATATTTCTGCAAGATCAATGGCCATTGACCTTCTTGGTACAATTGCTGCGAGGTTGAAACACGATGCTGTGCTTTCCAGGAAGGAAAAGTTTTGGATAGTGCAGGAGTTGATTAGTGGAGACGATGTTGATCGTAGTTTCCCGAAAGATGCATGTTCTGTATGTTTAGATGGAAAGATTGATAAATCATTGCTTGTATGTCAAGATTGTCTGAGATTATTTCATGCAGAATGCATGGGAGTGAGAGAACATGAAGTTCCTACTCGTGGCTGGTATTGTCAATTTTGCCTGTGCAGGAAGCAGCTTCTTGTTTTAAAATCATACTGCAAGTCGCAGTGCAAGCATGATGGGAAAAATAATCATAGCCTGTCAGAAAAATCTTCTAAAGCTACTGATCTAATCACAAATTTGGAGATTGTTCAACAGATGTTATTGAATTACCTCCAAGAGGCAGCGTCTGCTGATGATGTGCATATATTTACTCGCTGGTCTGTAGCACAATGTAGCTTTTTTACTTCAGATTTTTGTTTTGCATTGACAATATTGTTAAGTTATTTATGTGCAGGTTTTATATTTGTTTGTGGTGCAAAGATGATCCAAATTCTCAACAAAACTTCTTCTACTACCTTGCTAGAGTGAAATCAAAAGCAATTCTGCGTGACTCTGGGGTTGTTTCTTCTTTATTGTCAAGGAATTCAGTCAAGAAGATAACTTTAGCATTGGGTCAAAACAACTCTTTCTCCAGAGGATTTGATAAGATTCTTCATATGCTTCTGGTTAGTTATTTATAGCTTTCTCCTGCAGTATTAGTTAAAAAAATTCTTAATTTTATGATGCAATTGGTTGCAGGCAAGTTTAAGGGAGAACTCTCCTGTAATCCGTGCCAAAGCATTACGAGCGGTAAGTAGAGAAGAACTTAATTGAATTCTAAAACCACGAGTTTGAGGATGAATACTTCTTCTTCTGGTTCTGTTGAAGACACTGACCCTCTTTCCTCACTTGTTATTTATAATGAGAGCAGGTTAGTATAATTGTAGAAGCTGATCCAGAGGTTTTGTGCGACAAATTTGTCCAAACGGCTGTCGAAGGAAGGTTCTGTGATTCCGCAATATCTGTCCGAGAAGCAGCACTAGAGCTTGTTGGTCGGCATATTGCCTCTCATCCTGACGTTGGTTTGAAGGTATAGCAAATTAGCCTTGCCCATCTTCTTATTTGCTAAGAATATGCTATATATGTTGTATTTACTCTAATTTCATTTTCTTTGGGACCTCTTGTAGTACTTTGAGAAGGTTGCCGAGAGAATAAAGGATACTGGAGTAAGTGTTCGAAAACGAGCAATTAAAATCATAAGAGATATGTGCACTTCAAATACTAACTTCTCAGAATTTACAAGTGCTTGCATTGAGATCATTTCTCGTGTTAGTGATGAAGAATCAAGTATTCAGGTAATTTGAAACAAATTTAAGATCTGGACTATTCTCTCTAAAAGTTTCCTGCACTTGTGTTTATTAGACATTGAAATGGTTAGGCATAATTTGTTGCAGTGCTTAATAAAGTACTATCGAGCAGATAAAATTTGATATTCATCTCTGTTTCCGGTTACATGTACACGTCGATCAATAGTATTAAATGTACTTATATCTATTACTATAGATGTTATATCAGAACTGGAGGTAGAGTGAATTGATTCAGGATGAATACAAACATGAGGCATAAATTTCAACATCATTAGGAAACAGTAGATGAATACAAACATGAAGCATAAACATCATTAGGAAACAGTTAGTTTGCAATTTGTTTGCTAGCACAGCTGTATACTTTTTTTCAGTGGAGCCAAGTCCCAGATGTCTTTTTTCTACTGGCTTACAGGATCTTGTCTGCAAGACATTTTATGAGTTCTGGTTTGAGGACCCTGGTGGTTCGCAGACTCATCTTTTTGGAGATGGTAGCTCTGTTCCACTGGAAGTGTCAAAGAAGACTGAGCAGATTGTTGAGATGTTGAGGAAGATGCCAAATCATCAAGTTCTTGTGACTGTGATTAAGCGCAACTTAGCCCTTGATTTTTTTTCGCAATCAGTTAAAGCTGTTGGTATTAACCCTGTCTCGCTCGCATCAGTACGCAAGCGCTGTGAGTTAATGTGCAAGTGCTTGTTGGAAAGAATATTGCAGGTATTCTTGTCATTTATTGATGAGCTTAGTATTCTGATGCTCTGTTTTCTTGTCTCTGGTTATTAAGAACTTGTTTTTGTTCAGGTGGTGGAAATGAACAGTGAGGAAGTGGAGGGGCACACACTTCCTTATGTGCTGCTCTTGCATGCCTTTTGTATCGTGGATCCCACACTCTGTGCACCAGCTTCTGATCCTTCCCAGTTTGTGGTCACTCTACAGCCATATCTGAAGAGTCAGGTTATCCACGGTTTTGTATCTATAAAGAACTTCCATTTAATTTTTGTAATTGCAATTTTGTCCTGTGCGTGTTTTTCATATTGAAAAGTGTAGGCTTTAGAAATATTTTGTGAACAGAAGTGAATTATTTGTGTTTTACATGAATATCATGCTCACATATATGCATTACAATTATATTACTTATTTTAGAACTTAACTCAATGAAGCCCCGAGCTCAAGAAATTGGTTTTGGGTGAACTCATTTTTATATCTTTATTTATTTATTTAATTATTTTGGCCATTAGCTCAACCACAAAAGTTTTAGCTACGTGTTTATTTGCACTTGGCCAACATTATCTTTGTTAAGTGATTACACATGAGTCACGCATGAGTCTCTACTTCCTGTACCTTCAGCGGTGAGAATGCCGTAAATTAATTGGAACATGTATAGTTATTCTTTCATCTTATTGATTCACCTGTATACATGTATTATGCACATGTTTATTACATTCTTTTAATTGTTGTTTGAGTGGAAAGTTTGTAATGTTATTTTTTCTTCGTTTGGCTTTGATTGTTAGTCTTTGATATCATGTATCTGTATCTCATTTCTGATCCCCAAACCTTTTATCTTGGTTCTGTGGATAACATTACCTTAGGTATTTGTTCTCATAACATTGACGTAGTTTCTCTTGTGTTCAGGCTGACAATCGAGTAGTCGCACAGCTACTGGAGAGTATAATCTTTGTAATTAATTCTGTTCTGCCCATGCTTCGAAAGCTTCCTCAAAGTTTTGTTGAAGAACTTGAACAGGACCTGAAGCAAATGATTGTTCGTCATTCTTTCTTGACGGTTGTCCATGCCTGCATCAAGTAATTTACTATGTTATTTCAACTCTACTTGTTGGTGCCATTGTTTGTAATTCATTAAAGTATCTATATTATTTATTTGGACTAGTACTCAGGTGAAATTATATAGGAGTTTTGTGTTATAAAATTATGATGTATATTTTATCGTCAATTTTAAAAATAAATTTAATGAGGGTGAGCCTTGGTGCAACGGCAAGGTTGCTCCTTTGTGACCCAGAAGTTACGGGTTCAAAACATGGAAACGGCCTCTCGCATGTGGAGGTATGGCTGCGTACATTTAACCCTCGTGCACTGGGTCTGCCCTTTGCCACTTTTAAACTTTATGTTTATTTATGAATTATGAGACATTGATAATTTCAAATTTCCATACTTTGGTTTTCCGTTCTTTATGTTGATTTTGTCAATGGGATTCCCTATCTTTTATTTCATTCGAGTCATGATATTTGTGTGGCATATTGGTGTCTGCCAGCACAATGACTTAGTAGTTTATTTCTTCTATGGTATACGTAATATTCTTTTGATGTGATATTTGTTCAAATGATATGAAAAATTATAATAGTTTATGAAAAGCACATCGTTTCATACACATTTTTGCATTAACATGTGTGTGAGAATGTGCAGTAGGCACTGACTTGGATTATAAATTTTGATTGTTACGCTATGTTTTTTGTACATATGAAATTTGCAGGTAAGTATTGACGCTTTACCCATGTACCACATTTTATATACTTCATTTGGGTCGGGCGAGGATAATGGACATTTATAGACATCATGGAATTTCACATTTAGGCATATGCATTAGACTTTCGTGGGAGCTTGAAATAAAAAAAATAAATAAATTGAAAGTTGCATGATATTTATCCTCCGAGTTTCTAATATTTAATAATTTGTTATAAAAACTTTTCAAAAATTCTATAATAAGTACAATATGTGTGCAGTTCTGTCTTTATCTTTCTTTCTCGCCATGTCCCTTCTCATCTCTGTTACTCTCTACTTACAAACTGGATTTTCATTGGCAGCCGTACTCCAAAATTTCCTCTTTATCTTTTAAAAGTAAAAACATATGGTTTACCTCCTCGATCCTTGTCTTGATCCGTTTTCTCCTTGATCCTTGTCTTGATACAGCATTGGCGCATGTGAACTTTGAAAACACCACCCCCATCCCTGTATTTCACAATCCAAATTGCTAAAATTTTTCCAAAGTCCTTCAGCTGTTTGGTGATAATGCTAACTGGTCTTTTGTACTTAATCCTGTGTTTAATGGTAGTGGTGGTGTCGAGACAACTTTATACTTTACTAGTTAAACCATTCTCACCAGAAAAATTAATTCCAGCCTATTTCTGCTGTCAAACGACGCTCTAATAAAGAGTTGGACAAGGTCCATTGATCTAGACCTCGAGGGGGGTTTAATAGGTCTTGTAGAACAACTTAACAATTTTAACCAATTTCCATATTTAAACCGAATTAACAGAAAATTAAATTAGCATAAAGTAAAAATCATGCAATCCATAGATTTAAATTAGTAAAGCAATAAACAATGGACACCAGATTTTTGCATGGAAAACCCTAAGAAGGCAAAAACCACGGGACCTAGTACATTCAAACCAAATCAACTATCAAGAAAGAGATTACAACTGGGTTTAACAGTTGAATAAGTTATCTCTAGAAATAGATGACTGCAAACTTTTCCTTGAAAGTTTCCATGCCGTCCACCTGCTCCTCACGAATATACTTCTCTAGTGAATCATTCTATTAGTTGTCCGGTTGTCAATCTGAATTGTTCTTTGTTGCAGCATATATTCCATCTTCAACTTGGAAGGTAATTAATACTCCCTCTATCCAACAAAAAACTCCTTTTTGAGAATCCAACTCTTTAAGAGAACCTTTCAAAAAAAAACTTTTTAAGAGTGTACTTTTTAATTTTTTTATTATAGTGGTAGGGCATGAGTTTCCAAATATACCCTTCTATGGTTGGCCCTCATACTTTTGTAACTTTAAGTCAAGGAGGGTAAATTAGGAATTTTTAAGCAAAAGTATAGACTGTTTTGATCTACGAAATTTGCCAACATCAGTCCTATTGACCTGACACTTCTCTTTGTGTGTTTCAACAAGAAATCATTAGTATAGATGAAAATTCAATTGGCTAATTTGACTGTTTGTGTTTATTTTTCGATAAATGGACTTCCCCTGGGGGTTTGTGCTGGAAAAGAAACTACAATCATATTCTAGAACTGCAACATGTGGCACCAATCACCATAAGATTCCTTCAAAGATCACTGCCGTGCATCGTTGCAAAAAATGACCTTTGCATTGTGGATAATGTTCTTGCAAATGGAGATGCAGGCAATGCACAAGTTTTCATTAATATATTGGGAAGCCATTAGGGGCTGATTGCTTGATATAATGAACTTTTAACTTTTCTTCTTCTTCTTCTTCTTTTTTGGTTGGTTAGGGGTGGGATTTTGAATGGTTTTCTCAAAAGGTTATTTCAGTAGCTTTTCTAATCTCTGTCTAATGTTCATGAATGTAACTACTGATATATACATATATATATATAATTTTCTTCTAGATACTGTCTAGATGATGTATTTGAGGTATGGGCTTTCGAAGAACAGATTTGAATATTTTTCTTTTTCTTCCTTTTGATTTTACATAATTTATTAAGAAGTTAATGGCGTTAACCCATGCGTGGTTGATACCATAATAGATTTTAAATTCTTAATGCAGCGTGCCAGGGACAATATAGTCATGATTCAATGTTTTGGTCCAGTGTTTTCATATTAGTAGTGTGAGTCATGCAATATAAATTGTAGTTCTACCCTATTATTATTTACTTATTGTAAGTTTTTAGTCTAAGTTATAGAAGTGTCCAGTGCAATATTTTATACTTCCTTTCGTTTATTTTAATGCCTAAATTGTGCGCGCTAAGCGCCGCTTGTTTATCAAGGTTTCGTACCTGACATTGTTGGTCATCTTTATGTGGTAGCAGATAACTGTAGGTCTGACCCTGGATATAGTTGAATGGTGGGAAGGGTTTAGGTATTTGACTTCTAGTTGATAAGGTTTCTTTTGGCTGAGTCAAGTCTCTTAAATTATGCATATGTTGTGTTATTCCCTCCAATTTGAGAGGTTATTTTATATGTTATTTAAATAATATTCAAGGCTGATTCTCTTCTTAATGCAGGTGCCTTTGCTCTTTGAGTAAAGTAGCGGGAAAAGGTGCAACTGTAGTTGAGTATCTTATTCAGGTGTTTTTTAAACGTTTGGATGCCTTAGGGTTTGATAACAAGCAGGTGGGTGCTTGCTTAATGGAATGTTGTGCTTTGCAATAAGTAGCTGCTTTATTTGTCACTATGACTTTGATAGCATATGCAGTAATTTACACATATATACCGGATTAGTTTGAGATATATTGTTTTATGGTTTCTCAAAGCTGCTTTTTGTTTATATATTATAACTCATGCTGTAGTTTCTTTAATTTTGATTTGTAAACTTGAAGTAGTTCTGTGTGATATTTTTCTCGGTGGTAAGGTGCATGAAATAAGTTGTTTTGAACTGGCAAAGGTGAGTTCAGCTGATTGAAATGCTACTTTCTTCTTATTTTATTTTATTTTTTTCCTGAAAAGTATGGTGGTATAATATATGTGCACAAACCGTTAGATAAAAAGCAAATGTCTTTATCGATATGAAGACAATGGCATTGTAAAATTTTGTGTTTTTAAAGTCACAATGATTTAGTTATAGTGTCCTTTGAATGGATATTTTGCTAGTGTTGTTTAAATTATATTTTTGCTCATCTGTTTCTCTGGGCACCTAGTTTGTTATGTGGGTTCTTGTTTATGAACAGAAAATGGTGGTATTATACGCAGTATGCCAGGGATCTTACATGGACTGGTTCGATGTAAGTTGATTCATTCATCAAAAAGGGAGACTAGCAGTTAAGGTCATAAGCGAGTCTTCAAGGTCTGATTCTTGTCAATTGTCTAACCTTGGTCTAGAGAAGAGTGTCTCCCAATGTTGTTTAGGGTTTCAAATATGCTAAGTTGTCGGTCAATTCTTAGGGATCCGCACCTCTAACTGTGGGGTAGTGGTCTATATAGTTCGTGATAACATGGCGGTGCTCATGCAAAAACGGTATCCTCTCGTAGTCAAGATGTACATGTCTACTGCAGTTTGATGGGATGCCTTTACATGCGTTGAGGGAATGACATTGGGGCGGTATTTCGACTGTAGAGGCAACTAATGCTGCACTAGAGTGATATCAAGGTTTCAAGCTTTCTTCATAAGCTTCACCATGGTTCAACAGAGGATACCTCCACGTGTTGATTGGGCGGTTATGCTGGTGGTAACTATATAAGTAGAGGTGGTTTGGTACAGAATTGTCACGTGATGAAGGGCATAGGTCGTCAGGATCAGAGAATTTCTCATTCAAATTAAGACGTGTGCATACTTCGAGAAGATCACCGCAACAAACCCTGGGCTTGAATCCACTAGGTTAAATACCTTATAGGATTTCAGAGAAATGTGAAATATCTTGTTCGTCAAGGTGTCCTATTTCAATAACTCTACTGAGGGCTGTAAAATGTCAGTCTCCAAAAGTGGCCATTTATATAATTGTGCATACAGTTGTGGAAGAGAACTGAGACCTACTATTTACATACTGCATAAAGTGCGTGAAAATAGCTTTGGTCTTCAAGTTAGAATAATCTTTGGAGAAGATACCCTAATGATGAGGTTTATCACACAGAAGAGGTCCCCTTGTGGCAAGGTTTATTTAAGTAGATGTGCTTGCCATGTATATGTTGGTAGTGAATCTTATACGAGGCGAAGAGTTCCTTGCAATAATATATATTGCATGTAGTGTGGGCTGAGCCCGTTCAGGGAACATAAATGCCCGTGGAGAAGGTGGCGAGATGTGTCTATACTAGGCTTGCAATTGATAAGTACATTATGATCTGTTGAGAGATGGATTGCACCAGGGTTGCACAAAAGAACCGTGGAACCGAACCGAACCGGGACTTCGGTTTCGGTTCCGGTCCCTATTCAGAAAATTAGGAAGCCTATGGGAACCAAACCGAACTAGAACCGTATATATATATATATTATATTTGATTATATTATATATTTATATTTAATTGTATACTGTCAATATAGTAGTTAGTAAGTATAGTACTATGTTGTCAAGTCAAATGGAACCTCTAAAAATAAAGGGAATGCAATTTACCCGAACGGTCTGCATCTAAAATATATTTTGGTATTTATATTATATTAAATAAAGTATAATGTTTTCTTTATCTATTTTATTTTTCATTTTTTAACAGTCCAAATCTTGCCATAATATGATAATATACTAAAATATTATTTTTGTGTACTGCTTTTTGGTATCTACTATCTACCAAGTTTTATCAAGACTATAATACCAACATATTATACTTGTGCTGATGATATTATCTTGTTTGCTCATGGAGGCTTATCTTCTGCCAACATCCTCAAAAGAGATTTGCATATCTTGAAGTCAGTAACAGTGCAACACAGCTCATCTTCTTCAGTCAACGGTTCCGTGGAACCGAACCGGAACCGAACACACGGTTCCGGTTCCATTTTTGAGGAACCGTTGTGACTGGTTCCGGTTCCTAGCGGAACCGTACCAAACCGAACCGTGTGCACCTCTAGATTGCACCGCCAGAGAATTGTATGTGCAGTTGAGTCTTGTTGAAGGCATAGGTGATGTGGAGTTTTTCAATTATAAAACCACTCGCAATAGAACGAATCCTTGTAAGATAGGGCAATGTTGAGCATGTCGAACCTCAAGGACTGTGGTGGATTGTTAAGTACAAAATTGTTTCTGAGTTTGATTCGAGTGAATAATTTGATGATTTTTCTATTTCTACTTAGCAAAGAATATAAAAACTGAAATTAAAGCTAAATTAAATGACAGTAGTGATCTAGACAATGGGGCTTAGGGAATTGATTTCACCACTAACTTCGTGACAATGGTCAATCATATTAAATCTATCTACCTAACTACTCTAAACTAGGGTGTAGTGCAACCCGTCTTTCCTAGGCATGGACTATCAAATTATATTCTAACATAAACAATTATTACTATTGCATTACAATCATTCCCATAATCACAGAAAATAAGAACGATTTGGGTTCAATCAAAACAAAACCAATTTCTAAGACAAGATAATGATTTTCTTAAGAACAGGTTTAAACTTTAAAGCAAAATTGCAATTGGTACAACCAAAACAATTCTCATTGTTGTGCAATTCATATATATATAAATAATGCCCCCAAAATAAATACAATCAAACCATTTTATTTGGCTAGGGTTATATCAATTCCCTAAGTAGAAGTTGAGCTACGCATGGAGAAGGTAGAAAGTTTCATCGTTGTTGAGCACGCCATCTCCATGGACAGCAATGGTTGTCAAACCCTAGGCCGCCAAAACTCTCTTCACGTCTCTCCCCCCTTCTGCTGGTCATCTCCTTCTATATATATTTTCGTCAATTTGTAACGCTTTTTTGACCTGTTTGTAGTATGAATCTAGAAATTGATATTAGACACAAAAACAACGGGCTTCGAGTCTTCTTTCCAGAGCCGCTGAGTTTGCCCAATTTTGAGTTTTGGGTAAAATGTTATGCCCAAAACACTGAGGCGGGTTCAGAATTTTCTGCTCAAGTTGTTTCCTTAATTGAATAGGAAAGCTTATTTTCTTCATATAATAACCCAAAATGAATTTTTCTTGCTGGAAATTCCTTTAGAAGTCTTCTAGAATTATCCTTGAATGGTCTTGGCCATTGGATCACCTTGGATACTCTAGCTCTCGCGGTCTCCATCCGTTGATTGAACTCAAAGACCCTAAAAGCAACGGAATTGACTGAATCTCTGGAGATTACCAAAAATAACAAAACGCAAGAAAATAGCATAAGTACTACTATGTAAGCGTCACTAAGGAGTTATAACATGCGAGTTTAAGGGCTCGAATGTGCAACATTCAACGCTTATCAATAGGCCTACCATAGGTACCAATTCCTTGTGTGGATGGGTCAAGTGTCTAGATTCTAGAGAAGTTTTCAATCATAATCCTCATTAGGAGACTTTAGATGCTGTCCGTTTGAACTCTCTACCTCAAGGGATAATAGATAAGCTGTTGAAAAAAACACATTAATCTTGTTGAAGAGGATGGTCCATAAGGTGCTGATATTAAGATATACTTATTGGATATAAGTATCTATTTAAAAATTTGATCAAATAAGTAACTAGCAGGCCAAATTATTCTGCTAGGACAGAAATTTATGTAGATATTTAAAAAAACCTAGGGTTTTTTTGACTCTCCCATTACCAGTACCAAAGCCCGGATGCGAAAAAGAGGTGGGTTGGTGTCGGGGAGACCATCGACCGTAAAATTTATGTCAAATCTCTATGATGAATTCTCTTTCAAGTAAAGCAAATAAAAATAATAGAAAACAGAAATCAGAATAAGAACATGGGATATAGGGACATTAATAGGAATGGTACATAGGAATAGTAAATGAAATTCATAAATAAGTAGAACACACACTTAAAAAATGGGTAATAATAAGGTTGTTGGACTGGATAGCATACATATAGAGGCTTGGATAATTTTAGGAAAGATAGGTATTGAATGGTTAACAAAGTTGTGTAAGAAAATTCTAAGAGAAGAAAGATGCCAAGTGATTGTCGGAAAAGCACAATAGTGCCAATTTATAAAGGGGATATACAAAATTGTGGAAATTATAGAGGAATTAAATTAATGAGTCATATAATGAAATCGTGGGAAAGAATTATAGAGCAAAGATGAAGGAAAGAAAAATCAATATCTCTTAACCAATTCGGATTTATGCCAGGTAGTTCCATGAAGCCATATAAATAATAATTTTTTTTTTTGGGGAATATAGGATTAAACGAAAAGACTTGCATATGGTTTTCATAGATTTAGGGAAGGCATGTGATAAAGTGTCAAGGACATATTGTATAGAATGGTTATTAGTTTGGCAATATTGTATGGAGCAGAGTGTTGGGTGTTGAAAAAGACACAAATACAACGCATTTATGTAGCGGAAACGAGGATGCTACGTTGGATGATAGGAATCACTAGAAGAGATAAGATAAATAATGTACGTGTGAGGGGAACAATAGGTATAACGCTTATAAATGATAGAAATAGGGAAAGTAGACTTGGGTGGTATGGTCATATTCAAAATAGACTCGATGATGCACCTATTAAAAGAGGAAGAGTTATTGTTTAGAAAGTAAGCGGCAAGAGGCTGACCAGTGTTATTAAAGGCCCAAGGCATACCAAGGCGCTAGAGGTCCTTTAGAGCCTAGGTGCGAGGCGCGTGCCTGAGTGAAATGAGGCGTACAATTGAAAATTTAAACTATCATAATAACATTCATATCTCATAAAGTCATATCAATATTCTAAAAATTAATATCAAATATAAAAAAGTAAATCCATCAACTATACAAGCACCCAACAATCATAAAACAGAGTACAAATTTGTTTTCTTGAAAGGCAAAGCAAAATGTGTTTTTTTGAATGGCAAAACAAAGCACAAAAAGAAATAAATATGTTAACAAAAAATAATAATAATAAAAATAACAAGAAAAAAAAAAAAAAATAGAGCCAATAAAAAAAAAAACACACAGAAAGAAGAGAATTAGACGGAGAGAGATGTAAAAAAAGATAAGAAGAGGGGAGATCTAGAGGAGGAGAAGAGAAAAAAGAAAGAAGAAAGAATTGACGTGGCTTTGTTGTTCATCTTTGTAACTAGGGCTTCGTCTTCGTCTCACAATCTCATTCTATCGCTATTCGGTTAACACTTTGACTCTTGGGCTTTTTTATTTTATTATTCTTTTGTACAAAAGTTCCTTATATCGTATGCTTGGGCTTTTTTTTTTTTGTGTTTATTAAGTTGCAAAAAGTACCCTTTTTGGCTTAAGAAATAGAACAATCGTATTTTTTTAAACAAATATCAGTGGCGCGCCTCAAAAACAGGACAAGGTGCAAACGAGGCGCGCGCCTAGTAAACGTCAGTGAGCCTGGGATGATAACAGCGCTAAACTTGAGCCTCGCGCGCGCGCCTTTAACAACACTGAGGCCGACCAAAGCTTATTTGGGATGAAGTAACTAAAAACAACTTAAATTTAAGAGAAGACATGGTGTATAACAATCAAGAATGGAAAAGGAGAATTCACGTGTCCGACCCCATCCATATGAGATAAAGGCAAGGTGATGATGATACTTGTATGATACTTCTTTGGTACCCATGGATGTGTCGAACTAGCCATGCCATGATTTTGCTCAACAGTGTGAGGTGGCAATTTTAGTCAGAGACTTAGTATAATACTGAGTAGGGGTTCAAATATTTAAACCTTTTTCTTTAAGAAGATGTGAGATTAACAAGGGTAAATCATTCTTAACTTGGTCCGGACCATAAACTCTAATTTGCTTACATGAACTTTTCTGATGTTGCAAGTTTGAAACTATAATTTTTTAACAAATTGATGATTTTTTATTTTTGCTTAGCATAGTATATATCACCATATCTTCCGTCCATTAGAATGCTTAATATGACACCTTACATTTAATCTATACCATAGTTAGTGCACGGTTGCTCGGCAGTTAGTATGTCAGGTTGCAAAATCTAGAAGAGACGATAACTACTCCCTCCAACCCATATTATTTATCAATGTTTCCTTTTTGTGTTTCTCATAATACATGCCCCATTTCGTGCTAGTGTTGCAAATTTCCTAAATTACTCTTTCTAATTTAATTCGAGTGCATTACCTAGTGCTCATTTTCGAAGTTTCTTCTTGACTCACTGGCTGAATGGTCTACAAAAAAATGTGAAGTTTTAAAATGGACAAATAATATGGCACGGCAGGAAAAAGAGCTGAGAGGTGAGAACATTTCATGGCCACCATATATTTAGCTAGACATATTATCATGAACTGAGATATTCCTCCTGCTCCATTTAAGCTTGATTTCCGACCAGCCATGTAAAATTTGTTGCCAACTTATCCCTTCATGTCCAAAGGCTACTCAACCTATTATTTTACTCTTAGTGGTGTGGTAATTGGAATGGAATCGGAATTGTGGCGTGCACATATTCTAAATTCTAATGTGTTATTATTTGGATTAAGGTTATAAAGCTCATATAGTTGGAACCACAAAGAGGTATTTTAATTGTGATGGTGGTATTCTTTAACCAGCAGATGAATAATGAAAGCTGTCATTATAATTTATAATAATACACGAAGTTTACTTGTTTTTGTAAAAGCATTGAACATAGTGTATGATCTATATATATTGAGTTCTTGTTTTGTTAAGCGGTTTATTCTTATCCCTGAGGATTTTTAAAATATTTTTTTAACCTTAAATTTCAATTTATTATTCATGATGCTTTATCATATAAACAGAAAAACTAACCATCCTTTTGGTAAGAAGGATGAGAAGATGAGTGGAAGGGGATAGTAGAAAGAATTTATGAGGCATCCTTATGTACGGGAGGGTGTCTTCTTTCCTTTTTGTTTGGTTGTGTGGAAGGGATTGTAGAAAGGATAGATGAGGTGACACCTTTCTTTGTTTGGTTAGAAGGAAATGAATGAGAGATTTTACTTTTTTTACCATTATACCCTCAGTATATAAGTTGACCAAATTAGTTAAGGGGCAATAATGTCACTTCACATTATACATATAGGTTATCTTTTTGGGATGAAAATTTATGAGTGAGGAGGGATGGCTCATCCATCCATCCTTCCCTCTCCTCCAGGTTTCCCTGCAACCAAACAATGGAAAATTGTTCTACCTATTGGTCCGTCCATCCATACCTCTTTCCCTCATCCTTCGCTCCTACCATACAGAGAAAAGTGAAGAAATATCAACCTCCTCTCTTTTTTCCCTTCATGGTCTGGAGACTTTTCCAGATTAAATCTCTGTTGACTTAGTTTTTCTCCTTTTCCTTACTTCCTTTTCTCCATGATTATTTCGGAATTTTTTTGCATTAAGAAGATAAAGTTAGATGAATATTTTATTTTTCTGTAATTTTTTCAGCAAGTTGGGCGGTCTCTCTTCTGTCTTGGATTGCTGATTCGTTATGGTGACTCTTTGCCAATTACAACCTTGTCCAGCAACAAAAATATAAATGTTGTGAGGAGCCTCGACTTGTTTAAAAAATATCTTCGTGCAGAGGATTTTGTTATAAAGGTCAGATCGTTGCAGGTAAGCCCGTTCGGCTCTTCCTAGTCAAAGCCTGATTTAGTCTTAATTGTAGATTGTACTTATATTGTCATAATTTTTGCAGGCACTGGGTTATGTCTTAATTGCTAGGCCTGAATATATGTTGGAAAAGGATGTTAGGAAAATTTTTGAGGCAACACTATCATCTGGTACTGATGCTCGTTTTAAGGTAATAATTTTCCAACACATTTCATGCATTAATTTTGTTGTGCATATTCTGAATAAATCTATTTGCCAGCTGCAAGCTCTGCAAAACATGTATGAATATCTTCTTGATGCGGAAAGTCAAATGGAATTGGACAAAGCCAATGATAATGTAGTTAATTACTCCGTAGATGGTGGCCATAGTGTGCCTGTTGCTGCGGGAGCAGGTGATACTAACATCTGTGGGGGAATAGTTCAATTGTATTGGGATAGCATCTTGGGGAGATGTGTGGATGTGAATGATCAAGTTCGCCAATCTGCTCTCAAGGTTAGAATCTGGTGTTTTTGTTGGTTGATAGTTTGAGTGAACTGCTTTACCAATCAGGCCAATCAGACAAAACAAATACATAATATGATTTATTTCTAAACCTGAAAAGTATGTCGCCCTTATTCTACCTTGTACTTTATTTGCCATTGGGTCGCTTTATAAACCAGGGCTTCAACAGTCTGAAAGCTGGATTTGTCTTTGACCACCACATATAATGGATTGCAGAGTTTTGTGTGTAGTGAATTTCTGGGTTTTGTAGTTATTACTATCGATTCTCTTATTCGTTGCTATTTTGAAAATGCAGATTGTGGAAGTTGTGCTACGTCAAGGTTTAGTCCATCCTATTACTTGTGTTCCATACCTTATAGCTCTTGAAACAGATCCACAGGAGGCGAACTCGAAGCTGGCACATCATTTGCTGATGAATATGAATGAGAAGTAATAACCCCTTATTGTGCTTTAAAAATTTTGGTACCCTGTTAATCTGCTTATGCTAACCAGTGAGAATCTTCTCAGGTATCCTGCATTTTTTGAAAGCCGTTTGGGCGATGGTCTTCAGATGTCATTTATCTTCATACAATCCACAAGTGCAATTTATCATGAAATTTCAAACCCAAAGGTCCGACCAAAGGTGCCTAGTAGTATGAAAGGGAAATCAGATGATGTTTCTTTCTCTTATGCAAGACTTGGGGTTTCTCGAATCTACAAGCTTATCCGTGTGAATCGCGTTGCAAGGAACAAATTCATGTCCTCAGTAGTGCGAAAATTTGATACTCCAAGCTGCAATGGTTCAGTAATTCCTTTTCTGATGTGAGTTCTGACACTAAACCTAGAGTTTTTTTGTTGACTATAGTCCAGTATATTGACTTTAAAGCTGCTTCTTCTGCCAGGTATTGCACTGAAATCCTTGCTTTGCTCCCTTTCACACTGCCTGATGAGCCTCTGTATTTGATATATGCTATAAATCGGGTTATACAAGTTAGAGCTGGGACGCTGGAAGCAAGTATGAAAGCCTTTCTGCACTTGTCACAAGGAGAGGGCCAGAAAATACCACATGCGAATGGGATCATTCAGCTTGAGCCATCTGTGCAACCTTTTTCCAATCATACTGTATCAATTAATGTAAATGGGACAGTTAAAGAAGAGTCGTCTGTTCAGCCTATTTCTAATCATACTGGAATTGTAGATTCAAATTTGCAGTCTGTGACTGTAGACAACTCTTGTGGCATTTCTGGAGAGAATCTGCAGAAAATCCAGGTAGTATCAAGAAATCAGCATAGATGCAACATTATGTGATGTTATAGTTTCTCTTTCCATTGTTATCTCAATATTTCGGTTAAATTCTGGCAAGACATGAATTTATATTTCTGGGATCCTTTGGAGTCCTCTTCCTTTATGGTTACCGTTTACAGCAGCTAGAGTTTCACTAATATATGTTTGTTGTCATAGCCTGATAATTTAGAATAATTTATTTTCCCAAATTCCTTTAGTGTACTTGATTGTACACCAGACAAACTTAAATGTCTCTTTTACTTGTTTGCGACTTTTTGATGGTTTTGATAAAATAGATTCTGATATGTTGGAAATGTGTGGCTCTTATACAGTCCGACTGTCTTGCGGCTATTGCATTGCAACTACTTATGAAGCTAAAGAGGCACCTCAAAATTGTATATGGTCTAAATGATGCTCGATGTCAGGTGATCCCTAGTTGAAGTGGTTTCTGTTAATTTTTTGTATCATACTAGCACCTTTGTTCCTTACTATATGTTATGATTGATTTCTTTGGCCAGGCATTTTCTCCAAATGAACCTCCCAAACCAGGGGATGTACTCACGAGGCAGAATATGCCATTCAACGTCAGTGAAACACGCATCAATCTGCCTACTACTTATCAAGAAGTGTCGGAAAGATATCAGGTACTCTCTCCCCGTCCCTCCTCCTCCTCCTCCTACTCCTCTCAGTGGTTACCATACATGTCAATAAATCAGATTAAACCATTAGATAAATGACTGGCCCATCCAGCTAGTTGGCTTTGACCAAGTATAAGTTGACAGTTCTTATCATTGATGTTTTGTTTTTGAATTGGTTTGTTGTTGATCGTCTTTACACTTCCTTTTTTGGTCACTGGCCTGTTTGGGTTTCATCACAACCTTTGTGTGAGCATTCTAGGTAGGAGTTGTTTTTGAGAAACTATGCTTACCTTTGCTTTACTTCTCAGGAATTCAAGAGTGCCTTGAAGGACGACACTGTTGATTATTCAATTTACACAGCAAACATTAAGAGAAAGCGTCCTGCTCCCAGAAGAGGCGCAAAGGCTGGCCGAACAGCAGGAAGATATGAAGACGACGAAGATGATGATGACGACGAGGATTGGACAAGTGGAAGCAGGCGGCTAAATAACAGTGGCAGGAAAGGCGCCAGCAGTAGAGGTAGGCAGCGGTAGTTGTAAATACATTACAGGTAAAGCTAACATGTACATTATGTAGTAGGGAAAAGAGTGAAAAGAAAATGGATAGATGGGTAGAATGAGAGAGAGGGAGGTAATATGGAAACAGAAGAATGAAATCAAAAGAAATGTGATATTAGAGGAGGCTATGGTGGGAAGAGCGCCTTTTGGAAATGTTTCCATAATGTAATTTTTATAGTCTTTAATAGTAATTGTGCACCCATTTTTTGTCCACGGAATCCATCCTTTTTAGACAGATAATGTGGAAGGCATGCAAATTGCACTTTGCGAAGCTGTGATAGCCGGTCTCAAAGTTCTTTTTAGGGATTAATTTTGGAATTTTTGCACATAGTTGTAGTCAGAGTGTAATGTCTTTACTTTTGATTGCATGAGATTGTTCTGATATCATTTCATTGTTTTCAGACTCTTAAAAAGAGTTAAGAAATCAGAGGACAGTTTTTTCGTGGCATTTCTGTTCAAGAAGCCTTTGTACTCGAGCAACGATTTATTTCATACAATTTTGAGTTCCTACAAGTCTAAACCGCATGCTTCTACGGGCGTGCCCACATGCATATTTTATCTGACTACAGTGGCTTGAGTTCGTTGCTTTATGCACCAAGCATTTTACATAAGCATTTTAAACGGATGTCAATACTTCATTCAATTATGGACAAAAAAAAAAATGAACATTACAAGGGTCTCCATTAATCGGGTGGCTCTTGACCAAATAAGGGACCAAAGTCACCGTACAAATACAATGCAGGCCAACCAATGATACAACCAAGTTGAATATGACTTGGAAGAAAAAAAATTGTCTCTACCAAATTACTGAATGCAGCATAATTATTATTGAGTGACTGAGAAATGTTAAGAGACAAAATCTGGGAATAGAATATAAATAGAAAACCACCCTACTTGTGTAAATACTTTCTGCGACCCGTTGAGAACATAAGAAGGTGAAAGAAATAACAAACGAAAGTGCTAGAAACCTAGAAACGGAGCCAATAAGTCCTGCGCCTGAACCAATTGTAGTCAGGTAAATTCTGGATGGGCCCTACGGCAGAAATAGTAACATCCTGCAACAAAAAAAAAAAAAAAAATGATCTAAAGCGCATATTAGAAAAAATCTCAAATAAAATCTCAAATAAAAGGGAACTAGCAGAAACTCTCATTATATTGTAGTCCTTGCCTTGTCAAATATAAAACGGTTTGCAACACGTTTGACGGTGCTAGCATCTACGGCATCAATCCTAGCAAATAATTCTGCGAATGGAATTCTTCGGCCATATGTAAGAAGCTGGAAGCACGAACAGACCAAGCCAATATATAAGAATTTTCACAACAAAGGAACTAAAATATTTTTTATCTGGCACGTTGTATATGATTCTCAAAGTAGTCAACGAATATGTCTCTCTCTCTCTATATATATATATAGAGAGAGATTTTCCTGATTGAACACAAGTAAAAAAAAAAAAAAAAAAAGAATAAAAATTCATATGCAAGTTTCCCCCTAAATAATAATTCATATGCAAGTTACAAATATAGATTCTTTCATTCAAATCTATCTGTTTATTTTTTCCAAATTTCCAAGGAAAAAGAAAGTACTGAACCCGACCTACTTTAATTGAAAATAATGCTGTATTTGTTTTGCGGATAAGAGGATGGTATAATGCATATCAAGTGTTATCCACATGGGATTACCTGCGGCGACCCAATAGTACGGGGATGAAGCTTATTTATCAAACGAAAAATGAGGACAATGGAGATGAGGAAAATCAGAATTAAGCCCCAAATAACAAGGGATTTCTTGACATGGAGCCACGAAAGAAGATAGTTTAGAAGAAATAATAAGTTCCCTTCTCATGAAATAAGAAAACCAAATGCTATATTGGTTGTGCAGTCTTCATCCAAACAACGAATTGAGATTATCTTTCCCAGCTTACACATCCCTCCAACAAATTACACATTCTTGTTTCATTGATCCAATTTGACCAAATCATATGTTACAGCCAAAGGTGGTCTTAGTGGATTTTGTAAAACCACTCAACTAACAAATCATTACTCAGGAGTTTCTCTCAAAAAGTCTGTGTGAATATAATCTCGTCAGTTAGGTCCATAAAGAAAAAGGAAAAGAACACTTGAATCTCATCATTTGAATCCAATATCAAATACTTGGCTGCTTGGCCTACACTCTAGAGGGAGCTAATTTCAATGTCATTGTTTGCGGTGCTTAAATTTGTTTTGCCATTTTAGGTGGAGTTGGTAAGGATGTTGTAATAAAGAGGTTAAGATCCCTTCTAGCTATCAATTTCATCTTGCTGGAAAAACTCGGACAACATAATTTTTTGAATGGGACTCAGTGCATTAGAAAAAGACTTCCTCGCTTTCTGAATAGCCCGGCTTTGGCGATTGCACTTTCCATCCCTTGCAGAAAGAGTAGTTGAAGAAGCCAAGACGAGAGAGAATGAAGTCCTGCTTCGCTTAAAAGGATGGGAGATAAAGAAAGTGGGGGGGGGGGGTGGGGTGGTGGTGGGATGGATGAAAACTATCTTGAGTGGTTCGTAGGTGCCTTATTTGATCTAGTAAGGGGAGCTAGAGTCACTACCCTCAGTTGCAGCCCCAAGTCCACATAAAGCAGTCAATCTACCGGTAGCAAAGGTTGCTGATACATCTCGGGTTCCTATGCTGTACAATGTTATCGAGCATGCTAGAATACTAGATCCTTTTATAAAGTTTTTCTCGATGTGGACAGCTCAGGTTTTGTATTTGGCGTCCTCTTCCCTCCACCCAAAAAAGGGGATGTGTAACAAGCAAGAGGGTTCCCAGATCATATTCTACCTTTATTCTCAGTAAATACTGTTTGAGTTGAAAAGAAATTTTACCTGGCGACCAATATCTTCAGCAACAGGACTGGTTCCATCTATGTGAAGCAGCAGAGAAGATTTCAACTGTAATGGAACAAAATAACATGCGGAAACAGTTGAGCACTAGAAAGATGAATAACAACAGGCTCAGATTAAAATGAACTACATTTTAACAAACCTAAAATATACCATATAAAGGGAATCACTAGATTATCAAACCAGACACTGGTAGAGGGAATAACAAGTGGGTATAATGTTGACTTTATATTTTAAGAGCCTTAAATAACTTGATCCAAACTATCAGGAAGTCTTTTTGTTTATTTGTTTATTTTTTGTTTTCACAATCAAGCAACAATTTTGTCATATCAAAAACTAAGACACTGCATAATTTACTGTTAATCAGGCAATCAACATGAATCTAGACAAGTTTAAACCACTTAGAAGCTTAAAAAAAAAACAAATATCAAGTATTACTTTTGCAATGTTGGAGAAGCAATTTAATAAATAAATAATACAACCCTTGCTAACTTTGTTCAAAAAGATCATTAAGTAAAAGTTACAGGACCATGGCCAGGTGAGAAGAATGCCAAGAAAAGTGCCATTACGTAAGCTAGAGAATGTTCCTTCAACTGTATAACCTTAATAGTATATTGTCACTCGTTAAAAATTGATCAAAGTTTAAGAATCTTATTAGTTAGAACTTTATTTTAAGAGAGAACCTTTTCTTACTTCCATCTTCACTTAACTTCAATGTGAGATCATTAGTCAAAATGACTACTAATCGTGAATAACTCAGAAAAGGGACATATTGCCAAAAGTTTCAAATTTATAGTGATGGAAATTTCTTCTAACCCCGCGGTTGTCCGCCCAGCCCGACTCCTAATGGAACGGGCATGGTAAGCCCTTTTATTTTTTATTTTGATAAAGTAAGATTTTATAAAAAACGCTCAAAAGGGGAGCGAATCCCAAAGAAACACGAGGGCCAAAAGGCGCCTCAAACCTTCAAAGAGGCCAAAAAACAACAATCTCCTTTATAGATCTAAAATCTCTCTCTGAGACCCAACAAAAAAGAGGCTTGCATGGTCAAGAGATTAGAACCCGAGCCAGGTTCGGGGCAGGACCAGGTTTTTATCCTCCCACCTTGACCCAATTATATAATGATATTACCTCTACTTCTTTTTTATTACTAAACTACCCTTGTACATTAATAAAGAAAAAGGTTTAAGTCAGTTCCCCATCTCTCATTTTCTCAATTCTCTCTCTCAACCCTAAGCTGTCCCACCACTAGCCCCCCCCCCCCCCCCCCCCCCCCGGCTCCCATCGGCGATTTACCGACAACCAGTCACCATCTTGAGTCCGTGAGCCTATCAGATCGTCTCATCACCGTCCGGTTCATATTGTTGTGTAGGGACAGATCATGAATCCGTGAGCCGTCCAATCTTCCAAAGCCTTGAGCCATCCAGCAATCTTCGTCTTGTACAGGTTCTTTACCTCTCAAACTGGAGCAGTCTTCTTCTTATACATAGGTATAATATATAAATAGGTAGTGCTTCTTCTTCTTATTGTTATAATAGCATAATACGTATTTAGTTGAGCCATATAGATATACTGCCACACTGGTGGTTCTTCCCAACCTAGAGATACTGGTTGTTCTTCCCGATTTGGAGCATAGGCACTATAATCACAAACGGGGATGGGATGTTGCCCATTCTGGGTTAGGGACAACTATGGGTCAGTGACACAATGCTACATTTTAACATGACGGGGTAGGGCTTAAGGGAACCTGTCCTGAACCCGCCCCGTTGTCATCCCTAACAATATACTTGCCAAAATTTGATAAACTAAAAAAATCTCTACCTTATATGATGTTAATAACCTTCCTTAAACTAAAACTGTTGACATGGTACATAAGTACATAAAAAATTCATTACTAAATGATGCAACTAGACGTTCTTGAGTTAGGCATTACTAGGTCTAAAAAAAGTAGCACCTACTAATCCCTTCTAATACCTGAAATCATTCCCCCCATTACAGATATTGGGTAAGCCCAGGGTATAACCGTAAAACTTACCAGAGACGAACACGAGACTTTTGGGATAATTCCCTGATGCTACTACACAGTCTTCAAGTCAGAAACTCGGAATTTATGGCCTATACAAAATTGGAAAGATGGTTCAATTCCATATAATGATGGGAAAAAGTTACATGTTTCTGAATGAATTTGATGGTAGAGCACTTGAACAAGGCTTTATCTGTTCTTTTCTTCTTTTCCTAATTGAAGGGTTGGTCCAACAACAACAGAGTCCTGAGGAAAGAGAGGTCGGGCCAAACCTAACATTTATTCATAAAGTGACCCTATGAGGCTCGAACTCTACCTAGTGGTATCGTTGCTCAAGCATTTTCTTTCTCTATTTGAAAACCATTATATAAGAATTTTGTTCTATATATTATATCTACCAACCATTCATATATTATCATTACTAATGAGCATTACTTGTTGCAATCTTAAAAAGACGGGCCACCAAGTACGAGAGTTCATAAGAAACTGCATAAGAATAAGCTAGCAGTAACTTGCCATTACTAATTCATGGCATAAACATTCATGTTTTAAGTTTTCCATCTAATTACACAATCTGATTCTGTTCTAAAGTACTTTCTTGTACCAAAACTCCATATAATCTACAAAACAATCATTTTTCAACACAAAACTACAATACTCCCAAAACCGATCCTGATATTAAGAGATGGAAATCTTTTATCCAGAAAAGGGTATAACTTAGTTCCCATAATCTTAAGTGGTGCAAAGCTATCAGCATAAACAGTTCCAACAAAAACAAAGTTAGTATCATATTATCTTCCTTCCTATTTCTAAAATATAAAGAAAAGTCAAATTCTTAAAGTTTGAATAACTGTAAATGAAAATTATGTTTAACCAAAATCAACAAAATATATAATTACCAGTTCTGACACAACATGTAACAATGACAATGTCCAGAAGGATCGGATATTAATGGTTGCATTTGGATTGTATTTTAAAAGGGGAAAAAAAAAAAAAAAAAAAAACAAACAAACAAACAAACTTAAGCATAAAAACCATGTATATTGACACCCTTTCCATGACAAGAATAACCAACTTCCAATCACATAGGTAGCTACCTGATTACGAGCACGCGTAACATCTTCTTCTGAAACACGATAACATAATTTGCTTGTCTCATGCATAATGGCCCAGGCTAAATCATCTAAGCAATCCGGCTGAAAGGGAAACGTAACAATGTAGACTGAATAACTAGAATTATCAAGGCATAAGTCACAGAATCAACAGAAAAGTTCAAAATGACTTGTAAATAGAACTCCTACAGAAAGAAGACACTTGAAAGGATATTATGATATGGAATTTAACTTTCTAAACCTCAATATATATTCATGAAATACAAAGTTATATTACTTTACAATAACACACACTCTCTCTCTCTCAATATATATATATATATATATATCTATTCCTTTTCAGTTGTTTCTAGGGAGCTTGTCTATGACCTAATTATACTCAAAGAAGAATCCCTCGTAGTTCTTTGGCTTCTATCATACTCCCACAAATCTAGAGAACTTTTCCCTTCCACACAATTTAAACCCAAACACTTCACCCATTTTTTCCTCACTTTTGACAGCCACTTTGTGTAAATAATGTCAAATGTAAAGTTTGTACCGAGCCACCCTTCCCAACACTTCAAATTAACAGGGAACGACATTGGATAATGACCTCTTTACTATGGATTTCAATGTCACCAATTGTTCTCTGTTTCACTTACTAGTCACTAGAAAGGTGAGTAGGAAAGAAATAAAACAAAAAAGGAAAGGACATGTGTAATACCCCTAATTTTAAAAGGATAGTCTCGGTATTTATTTATTTGTTTTAATTGTATTTTTAATTATTTAATTAATTATTTGACTAATTACTTATGTGTTTAATTGAATTAGGTATTACTTGATTATTTGATTATGTGTCTATGTATTATTTGTATTTGTCTATGTATTAATTGTTTAATTAGATTATGTGCTTAAATGGTGTTTTGATTAATTGTAAATTAAATATTTTCGTTTCTTTTATTATTTTATTTTATTTTTCTTTTATGGTTATGGTTAGTAGTAATGGGCCAACCAATTGGGTTCTGTAGACTACTTGAATAGGAGGTTGGATGTGTATAGATTATTACCCATGGATAGTGTATGTATATATATAGATATATATTATATACATATATAAAATGGAAAGTAATTTATTAATTACTTTCATGGTAACTTGGGTAGTAATATTTAATCTGATGTATATGTTTTATATTTAAATAATAAAAATATACATAGATTTGATACGTGTTATGTTTTAAGTTACTTTATAATATTATGGTAACTTAAGTATTATTGGATAATCTATTAATAAATAATGGGATGTGTATAATTTATTTATTTAATAAAGATATACATAAATTATATACGTAACATATTTTACTTACCTTTTTAATATTTTATTTTTTAATTTTTTTTTAAGTTGACTTGGATTGGGAAAAGGGTTAGGGTTATTTTATTTAGCCTATAAATATATAGCTACAGGTTATAAAAGGGGGTTAGAAATATTCACGTGATATATTCCAGAGAGAGAGAGAGTTAGAGAAGGAAGGAAGGAGGAGAAAAACTCTGTAGAGAGAAGATCAAGGAAGAAGAAGTTAAACTTTCGATCCGAAAGTTTAAGGCAAGTTCTTCTTCTATCTCTTTCCCTTTGATTCGTGTTTCTATGCATGCCTAGGAAATTCTAGGATTTATTAAACACATAAAATTAAATAATTATGCATGTTTAATTGGATTAGAACATAGGTTTTATGAAATTGGTTCATATCTGCTCTTGTGTTATGAATTGATAAATGCATGATTTTGATTTGATTTCCGGTGTGAATTTTTATATGTTTACATTATGTATTTTTTCATATCTGTGGAATGATGGAACGTAAAAACATGCCTAGGATTCCTGAACATCAAATAGGAACTAGGTTTGGGTTTAAATAAATTTAAATAGACTCAATCATAATGATGCTTGCTATTTGAATGTTTTAAACAAACGAATGAATTTAATCTTTTAATATGTTTAAGCAATTGAGATTAAATGTGTAGGATGAATTGGATACGGAGAATGCTTATTTGACGGTATAATAAAATATCATCATGTATAAGATTCAGTTTGTATAGGACATATGATACAGGAAGCTTAAAATAAATAATAAGTCATTCCTATTTTGTGATAACTTGATATCATATTATCATAGTTATTTCTGGATTATTTGATGTATTTCCTTAATCGTTACATCAATTGTTAGATTGTGTGGTTTAATGCACCGGTATGTGACGATGGCATTCTAGGAACGGATTAACTTATCAGTTAAGTCCTACCTATTTTATATAAGGGAATGGATTAACTAAAATGTTAAGTCCTACTTATATTCAAGTCAGGTCAGCTGAACAAGTTGAATGACTTATGGAGGATTAATTTATTATATAAGGGAATGGATTAACTAAAATGTTAAGTCCTACTTATATTCAAGTTAGGTCAGCTGAACAAGTTGAATGACTTATGGAGGATTAATTTATACTGGATAGGATGGTTACTAAATTATATATATATAAGTATGGTGCCATGATATGAGCTTGAGTCTCAGGATCAGTGGTTAAGGTGCGTATATTGCCAGGGATGTGTAACTAGATACAGTGTAGTTGTGTACCCTGGTAGGTCTAGGTACTCATGCCCACTATATGTGCGTTTTGCGTGTTGCCTACTATTCAGGTTGAGACAACCCTACAGTCTAGTGAGGTTCCTTTAGTGTGTGTGTGTGTATATATATATATATATATATGGACTACTAGTTACTGTTGGATTGACTAGGATGTATACGTGTATCGGATCTCTGCTTGGACTGTAGTAGATTAGAACTTGTTTGTGGGCCTGACCCACCATTATTTTTCAGGTGTTCGTCAGGAGTAGAGGTTATTCGAGCTGAGCGAGGATCAGTTTACTTCATTCTTCCGATGCTACATAGGAGTTCCTTTATGATTCATTTTCCTGATTTAGACAGTTATTGCTGTCATTTGTTTAGTTTGGATTTTCTAGGGGTCCACACAGTATGGATTCCCGAGTTATATTTTGGAAGATCAGTTGTATCAGAAGAAGAGTTTATTAACTAATGGAAATATATTCTGAGGTTTATTATTAGATTATCATTTTAATTTCTTGTCAGCATTTTATTTATTCTTCTTTATTCTTTTGTACTCTGTGTTCGTTTATTATCAATTTGTTTTGATATCCTTGGGTATTCGGGCGTGGGCCTGGCCAACCCGCATTCGGAAATCCGGGGGTATCACAACATGTGAAATCTGAACAATTCAAGAAGAGAGCAATAAATATTATAATTGTACTAAAAAAACAAAAAATCTGATGAAGCCATGGATAAGACGTTTTAAGTAAATTAGAAAATGCTCTCCATGATATAGTTTGAAGGTTGGGGGAAAAAACCATGAAAGAAACATAGATGATAAAATTGGGAGTGACCTCACCTTAGCAATAGCATAAACGCCAAATAGACCAGTGTCTTTGTAGTTGGTATTGAAAGCCATCATGCTTTCAGCTATTTCATTAATGGCAACCCTCTGTGCAAGCTCAGAACTGCAGATTGTACAAAATAGTCAGTGCATGTGGCCACAAGATGAAAATGTCATGGGCAATGATTCAATGTAAGTCAACCATAAATGATGTGACACAGACTCACCCCATGTGCTTTCCACCACCTGCATTCTTATTCCAAGAGCCCAACATTGTCTGCATGACCATCAAAGCGATGGAATCTGGATCCGTCCAAGATGCTCCACTGAAAGCAACCGCAAATTGTGCCAGAGGCATATCATCATCAATTATCCTAACCTGATTTTAACACCCAACAGATATCAATACAAAAATTTGTCAGAAAGCACACAAGAATAAAAGATTACAGCCAAGTAAAGAGGTCATTAGGTACACATATGATATACACCCACCTCAGAACCTGTAAAAAAAGCTGGCTCTTTATCAACTAACTGAGAAGCTGTGGTTGGATCAGTCGATAACTTCGTGAAAAGTTTCTTAACTTGCTCAACAACATCCTCATGCTTAACAGCACCAGAAGCCGCAATTACCTATTGGCAAAATAGAATAATAGAGTTGAAATTTTCCAAAAGTAAAAGTCAACTATAAGTAGCGAACAGCTAACGGCAGATTAGTAGGGAAGTCAACATGTTAACCAACCAGACTCCACAGCAAATGAAGAACAGATAAAATTCCCGTTAGTTCACATATACCATTCTTGGAGCACTGTAGTGCTTTGAGATGTATTCTTGAAGATGATTTTTCGTGATTGTCTTTATATTCTGAGCTGGTCCAAGAATGGTTCTACCCAGAGGAGTGAATTGGAATGCAGTTGCATGCAAATGGTCAAAAATAACTTCCTCAGTTTGCCCTTCCACCTAGAATAAAGAATATACAAGGCACCTTAATCATAATAAGCAGTATCGCAAGTAAATACAAAAATATAAGTTTGCTTTGCACAAACAAATAAAATGCAGTACTGATATAAACAACTACACCACTGGAAATTACTAAAATGCTTGTTAAACCATCTGTTAGTTAAGTGATTTGTTAAGCTTTAGTGCCCCGATTCTTTGATATAATTTGTTTTGATCATCCAACAATTCTTTGATATTCCATAATTTATACAAATATTATCTCTTAAGGGCCAAGGGGGAAGTTCAAAAGTTTGTGGCATACTTAAAATAAGAAGTTTCAAGAACTACTTCATGAACCCCATTGCTATTGATAATGAACCATCAAGTGCAATTGCAACAAACAACTCTCATTACCATACTTAGAAGAATCAATCTAGAATCTAACATTTCTGTTCTAACATGTAAATAAAATCGCATCAAATAGACAAATACGAACATTACCTCCTCCATCTCCCTCAAGATCACATCACGCTCCCTGGTAATCCGATTCTCATCGAACTTGGAATTCTGCAGTATATCGGCCAATATATCCAACGCCCTGGGCACATCCTTGTCCATAACCTTGGCGTAATACGTGGTCTGCTCCCTGGATGTGTACGCATTGAGATGTCCACCCATATTCTCAATCTCCTCTTCCAATTCCCTGGCGGTTCTCTTCTCGGTGCCCTTGAATATCATGTGTTCGAGGAAATGCGCGGTGCCGTTGGTCTCGTCGGACTCGAATCGGCTGCCGGCGTCGATCCAGACGCCGACGGTGGCGGTCTTGGAGGCGAGGTTGGATTCGGTGGCGACGCGGAGGCCGGAGGGGAGGGTGGTGATGCGTGTGAGGGGGGAGGTGAGGATTGGGGTATGGTCGGTTAGGGTTGGGATGGGAGAGTTGTGCCGGAGGAATCTTGGGTCGGAGTTTTCAAGTTGCTTGATTGTGCGTTTGACGGACTCGGCGAGTCGGTCGTAGATCATGGCGTCTGGAGGCGGAGGAGATGGTAGTGGTGCGGTGGTGGCCACCGCCGGAGCGGTGGATAAGGATCGTACGGCTTGGATAAAGGTAGAAGAGGGTTTACGGGACCTGCGAGCTAGGGTTAGGAGCTGTCGGATCGCCATTACTATTCCTTCTAGGTCTGCACAGACACAGCTAATTGAAGTGAGGCCTTGGTTCTGTGAACTGTGTGTTGCACTTTGCAAAGGGAAGGAATAGACAATTGCAACACGACGTCGTACCAGTCTTGAAGGTTCTTACAATGGCACGTGGCTTCGTCGTCTTACCAGGCATCTAAGTACGTTTGTTCTTAAAATATCATCGCACCAAAGGAAGATGCTACTTCTAACGGAAATGGTTTTGTCTCACCATTTCGGGAGTATGCAACGCATTTACAAAACTTTATTTTTTATATTTCTTTTGTCCCAAAATACACATGGGAGTAAAGTTTCAAATATATCATAATTAAAGGACAAAATAGTGCCACGTAATTGATACAGTTATTTAGTTAGAAGGATAGTTTGAAGAACATTACTAATCATAGTCGCCTTGCACGACTGTAGTTTTACAGTCGTTTGTACTATTAATATAGGAACCAGATCCCATTAAATGCATTAATTACTTAAGTTTCTATTTTAGTGAAACTCTACAAACATTACTTCTTTAGACAAATATACGCTTTTAAATTGTCTAACCATATGAAAATATGCGTGTATATATATCCATATGAAAATGTGTGTGTGTATAATAATAACTACTGCTATATAATAATAACTACTGCTATGTGAATGAATTCTGGAAAAGGAAAAAAATTATAATTAGGATAATCCATTCTCGAGAAATGGATTCTAAAGAAAAAAAAGAGTTAGAACAAAATCCGAAAAGAAAAAATAATAATAATAATAAAAGAGAACGAGAAAAGAATCCATATACAATATAGATTCTGAGATTTTTAAAAAATACAAAATTAGTTTTATATATATATACACATGTGTATATTTCTTTTTACAACTATCTTGGTGAATGAATTATTTGTTTTTTTTTTTAAATCCATTTAAAGAAGGATAGTTGTAAAAATAAAAAATAAAAACAAAAACAAAAACATATATATATATAACACACGCACATATTTCCATTTGGATAGATTAAAAGAGGATAGAAGAAGAATGGTTAGATAATTTAAAATGATATATTTGTCTAAAAAAAGTAATGTTTGTAGAGTTCTACTAATTTAAAAACTTAAGTAATTAATGCATTTAATGGGATCTGATTCCTATATTAATAGGACAAAAGACTGTAAAGCCACAGTCGCACAAGGGGACTGTAAAGCCACAGTGTAAAACCCTAGTTTGAAAATGTTATAAAAAGTACTACCTCATTTCCTTATTAGTTGTTCATATTTGGTTTTATAACTTTTTAAGGAGACATGCAATTAATGTATTGTCCCCTTTTAAAATTACTAAATTGTTTATTCTAATTTTAATATATATAATTACAAAGTTTGAAAATTTTTAAAAAGATAAAGGATAATGATGAAAATATAAAGAAAAAATGCTTTGACTTTTTAAAGAGGACAACTAATTTGGAACATGTAAAAAGAGAAAAATTGACTACTAATAAGGGATGGAGGGAGTAATATATTTAATTTTGGAATAAAACATGTTTTTTTGAAACATTTCAAAATAAAAAGATATACAAGTATTTTGAGACGGAGGGAGTATATTTTTTTTTACTAAGATTCTCAAAATTTTTTGTCTAAGGGTTTGTTTGGTCAGCGTGAAGTAGGTAGAAAGGAAAATAAAAGGTTTTTTTTTTTTTTTTTTTGGAGTTTGGTTACCTGGAAAAAGAAAATTTTGGAGAAAGTAGATTCCCATATCAAATAAATTTATACAGCTTTGAAACTGAATAGAGTTTTACACTCGAATCACATGTGATTTTTGTATAAAAAATTTTGCATGGTTCATATTCATAAAATATGAAAGTGGGACTTGTAAATTATGCATGAATCAAAAATTATTATGCATTAACTATAAAATATGTTTGCACGACCATTTTTATCCTAGAATATTGCCATTTAGTGTTTCTTCGAGAGGCTTGCAAAAAAGATATATTTAATATTTCAATAAAAACATGATTATGTTATCATAAATGAATATAAATAATTATTATTTAAAACACAAAATATTTGATAACTAAAATCCAGTCCTCCTTAGTTTGTTCTAATTTAAATATGAATATAAATAATAATAATAATTACTATTAGTAATAATCCATTATTTTACTATTTATTTGTTAAAAATTAATATAAATAATTAGGTATAAAGATGATTCATTTAACACAAAATTAATTTATTTTTAAGTATTTGAAATCACGAGGGTTGTTATGTTAAGCAAATGATTTTCTTTTCTCTTTCATGCTATTCAAACTAACAAAATAATATTTTCTTACAACTTTTATGAAAAAATTTCTTGTTGACTAAATGCATACTGGAAACTTAATTTTTCTTTCTTTCACTTTCCTTTATTTCACTTTCACTTTTCATCATACATTTCTGTCTAATCAAATGACCCGATAGAAATTTTTGATGGAAAGTGAAAGTGAAAGAGAGTAAAGGAAAGGAAAAGAAAATCAAGTTTCTATTATGTATTTGGTTAGTAAAAAAAAATTTCAAGACAGTTGCGAGAAAATATTGTTTTGTGAATTTGAAAAGAATGAAAGTGAAAATAAAGTGATTGTACTTCTCAAAACTACCCTTTTGGTTATAGGATTGCTTTGTACTCTTTTGATAATTTTAAGCTCAAAGATAAAATAATAAATATTATAGTATTTGTTTTTGATGTTTAATAATTAGATATATGTGATTATAGGTACAAGTTTAATTAATAAAAATTTTGATTCGAAAAATCTTGAGGATAAAAGATTGAAGTTAATATATATATAATTTTAGTCATAGAAAAAAAAAAAAAAAAAAAACACTTCACTCTAATCGAAATAAAATATTTAGAACTAAATTAGTTTGGTACATCTAATATACGTAGAGTTAAAACTAAATTAGTTTGGTATATCTAATACGTAGACTTAAAACTAAATGAGTTTGATACATTTCAGTAGTTGAGTTATAAAGTCAAGAGAAGCCTATTTATAAAAAGAAACTCACTTGTTATAAATTTAGCTTGCAAGAAAATTAATTTCCTGAAAATTTTCTCTTTCACGCTAACCAAACTCCAACAAATTTAAATATTTTCTTTTTCTTTTCCTTTCTTTCTACTTCATGCGAACCAAACAAAACCTAAAGAATTTCAATAAATGACAAAATTGATCCTTAGCAATCCTTTTTAATAGTACTGTAGAATGACCTCTCTTTCTTCCCCGTTCCCTCTCTTTCAGTACGTGTCTTGGTCGAGCAAGAACTACTCCATAGTTTCAACTTTCAACTTCTAACTAAAAGGTGGGCGGCGAAAATAAATTTAACTTATTTTACTTTTAATTTATATAATATCAACTTGGCATATTTTTGAAAACTTACATCTTGTGAAATAAAAATGTAAGTTCATTATTATTGCAATCCATACACAAAAAAAGAAAAGAAAAAAAAAAAATGTTACTTCATTCGCATATAGATATGTATAATATTCATTATATGAGTTTAGGTGAAAAAAAGAAGAAAATTATACTAACGTTCCTCATGTCTAATAAAATAAATAAAATTTTCTTTCCGGAAAGTGAGAGTAAAAGAAAGTTAAGTGAAGGAAGATTAAGTTTCCAAATCAATTTAGTTAGCAATTAAAAAAATTTCAAGAAAATTTTGTAAAATTATTATTTTATGGTTAAATAGCATATAATTTTCAATAAAAGAAATGTCATTAATATTGTAAGTTCACAAAACTTTCTCAATAAATTAAAATTTTCTTGTGATTAAAATTAAATGGTTATGGAAAGTGATTTTTCTCAAAAAATTTCTTTTTCCTGTTAACCAAACTCCTAAAATGTTTAAAAAATTTCCATTTCCTTTCTTTCCTTACTATTTCCATCTAATCAAATAAAACCTAAAGATGGTGTTTACAAGAAAATTATATAAAATTATATATAAATCTCTGTGAACAAGTCTCGGGAGTATGGAAAGAAAGAAAAACTAAAGTATTGTGAGAGCACAAGGGTAATAGTGCCAATAACAATAATGATATTATATATGTTAATAATTTTAGCTATAAATAAAAAAATCTATAACCATTCATTATATAAATTATTAAAGTATTTTTCTATTTTAATCATAATAATTGTGTTTTATTAAAACTTGTAAGATTTGTTTAGTTAGAATTATTTATTAAAGTTTTTAAATCTTTTATCAAGCTAATAATGATATATATTTGCCAAATTAGAATCAAAGTATTAAAGAAATATATCAATAATTAAAATTTTGAAAATTTGAAACAATTACTAAAGAAAATTAATTTTCCATATATATTTTTTTAGGTTGCACTTTTTTTTTTCGGATTATGTATTTTCAATATATATGTATATTTATACACCTACTAAGATCAATATTTATATAAAAAATTATATTATCATTATTTACAATTTTTTTAAATTTTTTTTTTTTACATAATACTGAATTTTTAGCTCCGTCCATGCTCCTAACACCATTTACAAGTGTAAATACATATATATTCTTATCAAAGCTAACATTTCTAAAGCAATTAACTAAATTTACGTGATAAGAAACAAACAAAAAAAAACTAATCATTTTATTTTAACGAATAAAAGTTCAATCCACCCAAATTTTAAAATTGTACAATATGAAAAAAAGAAAAAGAAAAAATAAAAGGTCCGAGAGCTATGCGGCAAAACATGTAGCAAACTTTACTAAACTTGGGGGGTCTTAATAATTTTGACTCTAAATCTTATTTACAGCGAGAGAACGGAGAGAGTGTGGTTGTTTGGAGAAGAATAATTAGAGAGAGGGAGAATGAAACCTAAAAAATATCTGCAGTACATAAGCAGAAATAAGAAGAAATATAGAAAAACTGTAAATAATATACTCCGTATTATTTTAATGGATGTGATATAGGGTTAATTTGGTCAATTTATTAATCAAAAAATAAAAATGGAGCGCGAATGTCAACGCTCGAATTTATTTTGTGGTGACATAATAGCAGCACTAGGATGATTTACCATCATACGTTGCTACATTAGAGGATTCATTCAGCCTTTAATTTAGGAAGGAAAAAAAAAATCTTAAATTAAGAACGGCTTAAAAAAATATAAATAGTCCTATTTATAATGAAAATTCTAACATATATATATATATAGTATTAGTCTAGAAACTTTTATCATTTAGATGTAGAAATCAACCTTCTCAACCTATCAGAGGTTTTTATGGACTTAAGAATTATTATTCTTTTACATATTAGGGCCTTTTCGGTTAGAAACTCCTTGAAAATCATTATCTTTAAAATATACATATGTGCACGTATATATAAATGTCAAATATTGAGTTTGAAATGGAGTTGGATTTGATCCAATATCTAATTGGATCCAAAGTTTATTTAAACTAGTTTGGATTTTAATTGAATAAATAAGCTTTGAATATTAGCCGTCCTTCTTTAAAAAGGTTGTGATGAATCCGAAATTATATTTAAATATAAATAATGTAAAAATGAATCGAGTTGGGAATTTCTTGTGAGCTGTAAACGGGCTGCAACTGTGATTTAACCAAACGTAAAAGTTTGTTCTAGCAAAGTCTAAATTCTTTATAATAAAAAGACTTTTCACGTGAAGAAGTTTCTTCAAAATTACCTTAATATTTGATTCGATTGATAAATATATATATATATATATATATATATATATATATATTTAATTTGAGTCAAATCAAAATGTATGTTATTTTATTGAGATTATATTTAAATTACACGGGGGTTAATGATGAATAAGTTAGAATAAAGATTTGTCTCATACACTTCACAAACTTCCATTTTATATATATATATATACATATATATATACTTTCTCCGTCTCAATTTAAATGGAGTAACAATTTTTAAGTGGACATGTGGAGAAATTATTAGATGGTCATCATGGTCCTGAACCATAAACACTTGGTAGATCAGTTAAATACGGACTTTTGGATTGAGAAAATGGCCTCACAAGGTTGTATTAATAAATTACAAAGTTTCATTATTGGAGATCCTTTATTGAATTAGTCCATCAACTGTCAAATAGATCAGGACCATTTAATAATTTATCGGACATGTAGGACATGCATTGTTTGCCTGGAAAATTAATAACTTGCACTTTTAAGTTTTGAATATTCAAGTTTGACATATACAAAATGAGAGTGGACTATTATTTTGGGACAAACAAAAAAAGAAAAAAAATAATACTTATTTTCAGTCGGAAGATTGTGTGTGTGTATATATATATATATAAATTTTTGATACCTGGGGCCTTTGATAACATGATAACAATGCAACTCAACAAAGCAAGTATTTACTAACTATCTGAGATGTATACATAAATCTAATTTTCACAAATATATATACTCCGTAGAACTTTTAGGACACTTCCTTCCACTTAACTTTTCTTTCCCGTGGCAACCTCCATTTAAAACAACACAACAATCCTTCTCTCTACACTTAGTTTTGGTAGTCAGTCATTCTCTGTCTTCAATGTCTAAGTTTTGCAGGTTATGAAATCAAGGGTTTGGGCTACCATTCGAATCTCTTCAGAAACCCAAAGGTATTATTTTTGTGTATGTAACCTCGTTTTATGTATCACCTCTAAAGATTTTGACGCCAAGGAGTAGTTTTTACATTTGTTTCGACATATACTACGCTAGAATGTTTCTCTCCCTCTATTTTTCATTTATGTATCTTTTGCTTTCATAGTATGATACTTAATTTTCTGGGATTTAATTCATACCTATAATTCAGCTGTTATTCACTTTGGTTGATTCATATATCCATGTCTTGACCTGGGTTGTTGGTTGGTGTGTTCGTCACTGATCTTTGGGCTGACATAGTATAAAATTAGATTTGGGTAGAAATGTTTGGGGCTTAATTTAGAAGAATTCTGTATGGGAAATGCATGTCTGGCGGAAGGCCGAACCACCTTTGTGGGCCCCACAACCCCATTGAGTCTTGCTAGATAGTTCGGCCTTCGGCCTGAATATCAGTGCTTTTCTGTACAACCATAAACTGGAATTATATTTGGATGCTTGATTTCACTTTCGCAAACATTGAATCTAGTTTTCTTTGAAGTTTATTTTTACTAAGCATTGATGCACTTGACTCAGGCTATGGCTTTAAATAGAACGGAATGAAAACATAGGATTCATGTAGTCGACCTCAAGTAGTTGAAAAAAAGGAGGCATTAATTATTGTTGTTGTATTGATGCACTTGCCATATGCGTGTGTACTTTCCTTTTCGCCTAGAGAGAGAAAAAGGGTTACCTTACGGTTTGAAAGTTTCTTGCATTTGGTGAAGATGAATTGCCCTGTAAACTCACCCAAAGGGTAACTCACATCTTGATCACTGGATCTTTCCCCCATATATGTGAAAAAAAATATCGATGTGTAAGGAACTTATCAAGCTGCTTACTTGGTCATTATCTGTAAGCTTATTCTTTTGCCCGTTGTACAACATCTTCTGATTCTTCTAGTTATTTATCCCTGAAAATGTTGAATTAGTTTAGAGTTCAAAGGAATCATGATAAGCAGGAATAAAAATAAAAATTGAAAAGATGAATGGTAAATTTACTGAAGTTATGAATACAAAACGAGATCTTGTGAAGATCCAGAGTTGAGAGATTAAGAATGAACATTTTTTGTTACTCAGCTCGATTATTCAAATGGTGGGAGAGATTGGAGATAATGTGGCTTAATGTAGGATAGGTTCAGTAGATGCATCCTTTTGTCATATTGTGTTACCGATATACCTATAAAATTGAAAGCCAAAATTTTTAAATCAATAGATGTTGTACATTATCGGACAAAAATTGGTACTCTTGAGTGTTGAGAAGTAGTATGTTCATAAAACTTGTATGGTTGAAATACGCATGTCAGATAGTGTGGTAGGAGAATAATTGATACAATTATAAATGAATAGACTTGTGAGATGGTGAAACTAGTACCAATTAGAGAGAAAATGGAAGAAAAGAATCCACTAATATAGTTTGGTTGTATGAAACTAAGACCAATTAATGCACTAGTGAGGAAGAGTCACATAGCCTACGTCAAGGATAATATTATTGAAGAAGATAGATTTATGGTTTTATATAGAATAGAATGGTGAAAGAAGATTTCGGATAAGGCTATGCTGAGTGGAGTTGAGTTTAATTACACAATTGTAGTCGGCGTCGGATTTTCCCCCCTTATTGGAGGTGATCACCATCTGCCATTTTGACTTTCATGGCCTTTGTTAGTCATGTAGCTTGCTTTGGACAATAGCTTCCTGTCTGATGACCTAATCTCATCTAATCATCTATCTGGCTTGTCTGTGTTTAACAGGAAAGAATGAGGGAAGTCCAACTTGGGGCACATATTGTAAGGTCCCATGGAGTTAAAGTGGCAAGGACGCACATGCATGACTGGTTCATACTGATGCTTCTTGTGGTAATAGATGTCATTCTGAATGCTATTCATCCATTTTACCGCTTTGTTGGAAAAGATATGATGACCGGTCTCAAGTATCCCTTCCAAGATAACACCGTTCCTCTGTGGGCTGTTCCTGTGAGTTATTATTTTTCATCATTATTTGAATAACATTACAGTTGTATTGTCTTGTAAATAGTGCCATTGATGAGTTCTCTTATTTTCGTTTTAATTTTTCTTTAATTAGATATATGCACTTCTGTTGCCTATAGCCATTTTTCTCTTCTTATATTTCCGTAGGAGAGACGTCTATGACCTTCATCATGCCATACTAGGTGAAAATATCTTTCAGCACTGTGATGGTTCATCAAGAAAAACTTGTGTGCAATCATCGGAATGAACAATTATTTTTTGGATGGAAACAGGGATCTTATTCTCTTTTCTTATAACGGCAGTCATCACAAATGGAATAAAGGATGCAGTTGGAAGACCTAAACCGGACTTTTTCTGGCGTTGTTTTCCAGATGGGAAGGATGTACACTCCTCTGACTGTAGTTCTTGATGCTGGATTATGTAGTTCTTGAGACTGGATCATTTTATTTTGGTGTTTCTACCTCATCCTATTATTTGAATGCTTCTCAGATGTATGATCAATGGGGAAAAGTTATATGTCATGGTGACAAATATATCATAAAGCAAGGACATAAGAGTTTTCCAAGTGGGCATACTTCATGTGAAAGCACCTCTCATTATATCCACATCTCTGGATGTTTATTTTATTCTTTTATTGTCGCAACACACATTAGCCCCTAATGTTTATTTTATTCAAAGGACTGCAAAGCCTTTATCAATTTGCAGGGTCCTTTGGTGGTTTGGGCTTTCTATCATTGTATTTATCTGGAAAGATAAAAGCATTCGACCGAAGAGGGCATGTTGCAAAACTATGCATTGTTTTTCTTCCTCTACCTGTAGCATCTCTTGTTGGCATTTCTCGAGTGAACGAATATCGGCACCACTGGGAGGATGTGTTTGCTATAGCTCTCCTAGGTTTGTCTCGTGTGCTTATCACGTTTTAACATTTTTATTTATATCTGAAACTACTTGGTGATTAATATAGATGCATATCATCGAATTTTTTTCCTTTTTTTTTTTTTTTTTGTTTTCTGGCCTCCCGGTGGTTACGTTTTACTAAACTTTTTTATTTTTATTTTTTTTCAGGCCTCACAGTGGCCATATTTTGCTACTTGCAATTTTTTCCACCTCCTTATCATGCTGATGGTATGCTGCTGTTTCTTTTCTTTTGAATCAAATATCAGAAGTTCCTTTGCTGTTTAAGAAGATTTGTTGCTAGAAATGGATTTTGAAGACCCTTGGATAATTCTTACTACACTTGTTGCTTGGTTTGGAGCAAATGAACTCTCTAGAATTTTGGATTCTATTACTCGTATAGGATATTTTTAGATACAATTAGAGAACTCTAGTGTATTCCATACGTAGATACATAATTCTACACAAGTGTAGAGAATTCTAGAAAGCCAAACTATGCAGATGATCCATGCAACATGGGTTTCTCTGCTTTGTGCTGCGTGACATAACCTTCCAAGACGGGTATACACCATATAAATAGTATTTGCATGACAATTGCAGAGCTTTATCATCCAAATTAGCTAATCGCTCATATAGAAAGTTAGATAGCCTATTCAAATTTATGGACTCAGTTCCATATATTTTCAAATTTATATACTCGGTTCCATATATTTAGTCTCTATATAGAGTTGTATTTGCTGTTTCGTTGGTCGGCAATTTTCAGAAGTTGCTTTGTGGTACTGTCCGTGCCTTGTTCTCACATATGATTCTTTTAACATTTTGGATTTATTAGTTTCCTTTGTTCGTTCTCCATTGAACGAAGAGAGCCTAAGTGTCATTTTGCTTAGTTTTTTTCAGTGTGAGAAGAAGATGTACAAGTGTGAGAGCTATCTTGTGCTAATCTAATCTTCAACCAAAAATGTCACAGTTGAACCTCTATGTGTTGTTGCGAGATGGTGAATCCAACATGGGTACCTCATATAATTTGAGAGATGATATTGGAACTGGTTATGGAACTAATTGAATTGAGTCTTTTACTACCAAAGCATTTCTCTCGTTTTAAGTTAGAGCATGCTTGTTTAAAAAGTGCATTGGCTGGGTGTCTGGTTCGTATCCAGTCACTCGAGGTGGCTTATTGACCTCATTGTAGTAAAGGTTAGAAGGTAATACCTTAATTAGTGTTCTGTAATCAGCTCAATGAAACATTTAGTATAATGGACTATAGAAATTGAGGCAATGCAGAGGCTAATTAGCGTCGGTGACTATTCTTGATTATAATTGGCACTGACCTGTGCCTGTTTCAATCTCTACCTGTAGGCTAGATGACTTATGCTTATTTTAACGTGTTGGAGGAATTACGTGCGACTACACAAGCAGCCACGAACTCACAAAATGTGCAAACCATGAAGACTGAATCTGAAAATCGACGAGAGAAAAGAAACAGCACTGCATTCATTGCGATACTGTTATCGGCTGCTTCCAATCTAGCCGTGGGGGATTTGGAATATGGGAGGAGGTAAAATTGTGAATTTCTTCTAGTTTGTAGGTTGAGGCCCTCATCATTGTAATAAAGGTGGAAAGGGTGGTGTGTAAATTTTGTACATAAGACCACTAGTATACCTTTTTTCTTGATGCCAGAAAGGTGTGTATTGTGATTTTTTACTTGGAATTTTGAGCGCTGGTAAATGCATATTGTGAAGTTATAAATAGGGAAATTTAAAAAAAAAAAAAAAAAAACCTTACATCTCAAGTGTAAATGCAAGAAAATCTCTCTCTTCATTTTGACAGAGTTTTAGTACATTTCACAATAATCTCCCCCTTCTTTACTTCCTTCACCGCCTATTTATAGGCAATTATAGGTGTTGCTGGACTATCAACTTTGGGCCTTCTTTCCAGTGGGCTTGGCCTTGTTCGGTGGATCCTCCGAGCTCGTCCCATTCTGTGGTGCTCCTGTATGGGCTGAATTTCAATTGCTTGCCCCGATGCCACGTCTGCGGACTATAACCGGCTCATATTACTTATTGTATCCTCAACTGCCCCCATAATTACTCCCTAATAAATTAGGGGGTAATTATTAGAGGCTGCTAATCATGACTTGACGGCTCGAGAAGATCGCATGGAAGAATGGACGGTTAGATTTGGGAGTCGGTGCTTCGAGATTCAAAAAACTCCTCGTTTTCCTGACTCCTCAGCCTTCGGGCCCACCTTGTCTTTATAAGTCTCATAGATATTCCATCGATTCTCTTTACCGTCTCCATCTTGCTTCACTGTTGTTCAAATCTTCTCCTGTCTCTTTTGAATTGAATCTACTCCGACGAATTTTTGCAAAAGCCTTCTTTTCCGGTGATCTTGCAGTGCTCTTCGCGGTGTCCAATCTTTCGAGGTTTGTTTTGTTTTTTTCTCCTCCTTTAGGGATTTGTTGTTCTTCCTCAGAATCTTTGTTCGTTTTCACTATGACTATAGATTTAAGTATTCTTCGTATGAGACTCAAGCTTCCGGATGACATTCAAATTAGGGCTTGCCCTAAAGATGTAAACATCAGGACTGGTGCTGGCCTTCGTCCCGGCGAGGTTTTCTTCCCTCTGCATCCCTTCTTTAGTTACGTTTTTAATAAACTAAAACTTTCTCCTTTGCAAGTAAACCTAAATTTCCTTAGGGTTTTATCTGTTATGTTGCTTCTGAACCGTGACAGAGGTCTTGATCTTGACCTCATAGATCTTCTCCTCTGTTACAAAGTTAGCAAAATCCGAACTGATGAACCGTTTTACCATTTCTACCCCATTGAGAAGAGGTCCATATGTAAAGATAAGATCAAATCTGAAAAAGGTTAGAGGAAAAACATAATTGGGATTAGGGGAGCCTGGTTTTCTCCAGCCGCAAAGGACTTCCCTATCCCGAGCGCTTTTGGCGAGTGCTATGTCTCTTCGTATAAAAAATACAAAACCCATAAGAGTGACTGTCCTTGAGAGATTTGCGTTCCTCACTTTTGTACTTTCTTATACCGTTCCTTAGGCATTCCTTGTGATGATTTGAGCTACGGTGTTTGCGGGGATAGGGATAACTATTTGAGGAAGTACGTTCTGAACAACATTCTTTCTTGCTCGAACCTCCTTACCTCAGACAACCTTCTTGCTCTCTCAGCCCTCGGCAAGACAATGAGTCAACTCCAGATCCCTTCCTTCGGCAAGAAGAAAACTGCCCCCAACACCGTTGTTGCCCCTGCGGTAACTTCTTCCCCAGTTTTAGTATCTTCTTCTGCCACTATTTTTGATACCACTTCTTCCATCGATTTGAACGCGACGGCTACCGACCCGGTGTCCAACGTTACACTTGTCAATCCGAACATGAGCCCTTCTGTCAGCAACCTTCCCAGCTCAGCTACTGTTGCCGCTCGGGAAAAGGCGAAAGGAAAAAGGCCTCAGCCTGATAGTGCTCTCAGCTTTGATGACGTTCCTTTGTCACAAAGGGTTAGGCCCTCTGGGCCAAGTGTGTCCGTGCACCCTCTGACTAGGCCTCCTACCCTCTCTGGGCCTATCTCTGTTAATACCTCTTCCTTTGTATCTGCACCATCCCCCCGCTTTATTCGAACGGACGGGTCGTCTGTAAAGCCGGACGAGACCATGTTCAAGGATGGTCAGACTGCTATGGCATACTACAGGAGCATGTGGACTCCTAAAGATATTGAAGTAGCCAAGGGTCTGTCCCAGAAAGAAGTGTTCAGCCGGTTCCTCTTGTCTGCCATGGAGGTAACCTTTGCCCCTCAGTTAATGAATCTTTACATAGTCTTTACATTTGATTACTTCTGATCACCTGCTCGGCTTAATTAGTTATCATGTATATCTCTGCAGACCCTATTTGGGATGATGGCCATGCAGAAGCAAGTTGACCTGGGAAACACCAAAGCTCGTAAGCTCTCTGACAACCTTGGCGCAGCTAACAAAGAGAACAATGCCTTAGTTTCTTAGAATGCCGAGCTGATGGGTCAGCTCAACAAAGTTGAGAAAGAGAAAGACGCTCTGAAAAAGGAGACAGACTCCCTTCAGGACGAAAAGGACGTTCTGCAACTTGAGAAGGGTGTCTGGCATACCGAGGGAGAATCTCTTAAGGCTGAGAAGGAAGAACTTCAGCGCCTTCTGAGTGATGAGCAATCCGCTCGGATGGCATTTGAGAAAAGAGCTCTAGATGAACGTGATGTTTTACTCTACACCATCAGTAAGGTGAATGGTGGTATGTTAGCTCTGCACGCTCGGTTTTCCAGAGTTGGGGCCCTCAGATATGCTCAGGGGTTCCGAGAGGGTTATACCGATCGTGTTCTAGCTGAAGATCAGACTGGTTCTACCCCTGATGAGGTTGACAAAGAGCTGGACCCCTGTCGACCCAGACTCCACCCCTGCACCACCCCTGCTGAAGGCATATTTGATGAATGCCAAGAGATCGCCTCTTCCAGGATCACTCCTACTCCCTCTACTGCTCAACCTCTGAGTGTTCTTCCTCTGTCTACCGTGACTCCCTCCGCCATTGATACTGAGGATGAGCCTTGGCAAAATGATTCTTCCAATGCTACTGAGGATAGAACTTAACAGAATGATTCTGTTATTCAGCTTGATTCTCCTCCTCGTGAGGATGGAACCGCCAACAGTGATGTGGGGACCGCTCAGCACCATCAAGAAGCTGACGGGGCAATTGCTTCTAGTTAGAACTTTTCTGATGTACCAATCTCCTTCCTTTTGCATTTTTGTCATTTATATACCTCATTTTTGTAACTCTGAAACTTCATTATTAATGAGATGGCTGACTTTTGATTGAACTCCTGGCATAAATCCCTTTATTTAATGATTTAATGCTATCTGAACTGGTTCTTCTCTGTATATTAGTGGTTGACATTCGGCTAGTGTGCCACTTTACCACCTTTTTTTTTTTTTTTTTTTTTTGCGCAAAGTTTTTGGCGTTCGGCTCTCAGTGCCAGCTGCCACTTAATTTGCTGAGTGGTTGGCGCTCGGCTAGAATGCCACTTGCCACTTTCACTCTTTTATTTTTTTTGCAAGTTTTTGATGTTTGGCTCATAGTGCCAACTGCTACTTACTTTGCTGAGTCGTTGGCGTTCGGTTAGAATGCCACTTGCCACTTTCACTCTTTTATTTTTTGGCAAGTTTTTGGCGTTCGGCTCATAGTGCCAGCTGCCACTTACTTTGCTGAGTGGTTGACGCTCGGCTAGAATGTCTCTTGCCACTTTCACTCTTTTATTTTTTGGCAAGTTTTTGGCATTCGGCTCATAGTGCCAGTTGCCACTTACTTTGCTATTTTCATACACTCGACTTTTTAGAAGAAGATAGCTTTTTATAAATTTCGGAATTCTGTACAACTGAAAATGAGTAATATCAGAATTAGGACTTTAAACCTTCTACACATAATACCTTTTTAAAGATGTAGCATTCCATGGCTTGTTAACCAACCTTTTGGCCATGGTCTCTAGCATATATGCCCCCTTCCCTATGACCTCTGCAATTCTGTATGGTCCTTCCCAAGGCGACATCATCTTTTTAACCATTCCTACCTTCTTCTTCAGAACCAGATTGCCAAGTGTGAAATCTCTGTGCTTCACCTT